AAGATATAAGCTCATTCCGATGTTACACTCATTAAGACCTTTCATTTGAGTACCCACATCAATTTTTCATATATATTATATATTTATATATATGTATATATGAAAAATATATCAAAATGTATGTGGGTATTCAAATGAAAGCTCTTGATGAGTATAACATCAGGATGAGCTTATATCTTTAAAAATGTCAATAGTTAAAAAAGTACAGTGCAATTTAACAAAAGTCATTATTAGCATTATAAAGCAAAATTTTATTTATTTATAGTTTACGTCACGACAGTCACATAGTGACTGCAAGGTTGCTAGTACTAATTTTAAAAAATTAATTTTTGTAAAGTGGGTATGTAATTTTTTAAGTATGATTTATTGCAATAATTGTAATTGTTATTTTTTTTAATAACTATTATAATATTGATAAAAATTGGGTTTAATAAAAAGTAGTCAATAATTATTTATTCAAAAAAAAGAAAAATTTTAAAGTATTTTTTTTTTTTTATAAATTAATTAATAATAATAAATACCTGAAACAGCTAACACGAAGTGATGCTTCAACTTCATAACTTGATTGTAATTCTAAACCGAGACATGCTTTGAAATTACTGTCTGATGTCCGTTGAATTGAGTATATTCTTCCGCAGAATTTGGAGAAACCACCAGGCATCGGTACGCAAATTGTTCGAGATTTTTTACCTATAATGTAATAATAATTATAATTATTATTTTTCATGAATAATATAATTTATTTTTTAAAAGTATATCAAAGAATTAAAATAATTACCATTAACAACTGTGCTTGACAAAAGATTATCACCGAAACTCAACTGAAATTCCAAATTATCTTTCTCAAAGTACCTTATAGAGGCGCAGCCTGAAATATAAAAAAAAAAAATATTTCTAAAATACAGATATAATCTTAGAGTGTCTAAGCTGATGGCTCAACTTTTTTATTTAACTCCTAACGGTAAAAATAATTCCGTTTCCTATTAGCCCATTAGCTAACTGTTTTTTAATACGACTCTCAAATAAAGAAATTGCGGCTCTACTTATCATAGTAATTATTTTCAATTGTATAAAAATAATTTCAATTCTTTAATAGAATTTTATTTAACGCTTTTACCGTTAAACTTTTTTAAGATGTTAGAAAGTTTTACTAAAAATATTTATTTTATCAATACAAAGCGTTTATTCTTTTTATTTTTTCAATTTTCTATTTAAATAGCAAATCACGCTAAGTGAGAAAGTAGGATATCTATTCAAACCCGTAAATTTTTATTTTACAATATATATTCAGCTTGAACTAATCTTTAAATTTTCAAGCTCAAAATTCATGAATAAAATTAATTTTTTAATGACCAAAAAATTAAAAAAAAAAATCTCAAATTAAAAAATTTCGCTCACTGTCCATAAAAAATATAAAAAAATGAATTAAAAAAATTTTCAAGCCCAATTTGGCTAAATTTAAAATTTTTAATAATTAAATCCAAAGTAAAATTAAAAAGTTTGGAAAATCCAAAAGTGCACGCCTCATAATCTCATTTTTCACACTAAAATTGATTAAAATAAAATTTAAAAAGCAAAATAATAAAAAACAGAAAACACTGCTACGGTTTAGTGGCGTCATAACTCCAAGGTGAGAAAAAAAATACTATAATAAAATGTATAGATAGATATACAAAAAAATCCACAGTCATATATTAGTTTTTTATGAATAATAAATTAACGACAGTGAATTGAATGCTCATATTAACTAAGAAATTCTGTCGTGTGTTACTTTAGATAATAAAAAAAAAATTATTCCGGTACGATCATTTTTTCGACTAATTTTGAAGCCACATACACCCATCCATACACGGACGTCCAGAAAAGATTATGTTTAATGTTATTATTTATTATGTCAAACAAAAAAATTGTTATTGAAATATATTTTATACGCTTCGCTTATGAGGCGTGCAATAAGTAACTTAAAAAATTCTAAATATATTAATTTTTTTAATAAAAAATGAGCGATAGATTCTTCTTCTTTAAACATAAAAAAAAAATAAAGAAAACAACTTGTTCTTTAATACATAAATAATAAATTATCTACTAAAAACTTGATTAAATAAAAAATAAAAATCATACCTGGTCCTTTAAGTGCAACAACAGGAATATGAAAATCGCGACAACATTGACAAACATCGTTATCACATTTACAATAATTATTAAGATTTTCAGTGGCTTGCTTGAGTGACATAATCGACACACCCAAATTTCCTTGTTTCACCCTTCCTTCAGCAGCTCTGGCGACTCTTCTGAGACTGGTAGCTTCATCTCGATCTAAAATCAATTTCCTCAATAAAAAAAACTCTTTGCTTCATACTTATCTTTCAGTACTATTGATATTTAAAATCTAAACATAAAAACTTACCGATAACTCTTCCATAAGCCGCGAAGGCTATCAATAAAAAAATAAGCAGCAACTCAAACACCGTGGACAACCGCATTGTTATCTTCTTTTATCTTCTGAAACAACAAAATAAATATGAATATAAATGTAACAACTAACAACACCTGACTTCTAACTTCTGACAAACAAGAATGCAAAATAAGAATAAGAAAAATAGTTAGCATAGAAAATTCACGGTCTACCGAGTTAAATAGTTTGAATTTGAATAGCAGAAAGATAAAAAGATCCTGATAGTTATGGAGCGAATAACAATGAAGATTATTTCAAGCAAATTTACATTTATTATTATTATATTTTAACAATTTTTTTAAAATGTACTCTTACGTCTGAATATGTCACAGTAACAAAACTAAATTTCTATTTCTTCATTAGATGTTACTCTACTCTATACATATATAAATTACTTGACTACAAAACTCAACAGGTTGGCCTACATCACGGTCACGGTCAAAGCCACTAGCTCAGTTACGACTTTGAAACATTCTGTCTTCATACATCACGCTTATGGTGCTACTTGTCCAATTTAATTGCCATTATTATTATTATCTAACTAAAAATGGTCAACTGTTATTTATTGCACAAACAGTTATCTATTTCTTCTTTAATTTCCGGACACTGCTCTAAAATTAAAGTCTATCTTCAAATTTTAAAAGAACGAAGCTAACATTATAATTATACAGTTGAAGAAGAAATAAAAACAAAACTTACATGTAATAATTGAACTTTAATTGATCAAGCTTGGAAGAAAAAAATATTAACACTTAGTCGTGTATCCTCTCGGTTAAAACTCTTTTAAAACTGTTAATCTTACGAAGTCGAATACCCAACTGAAGATGCCACCCGACTCCCCTCCCCCTGGTAAGGTTGCTCTAAAAGTCGGTCAAGCCACCTCCACTGGACAAATACCATTACTTACCGTATTTAATTATTAAGCATTCTAATGTTATGTGCTTCTAGGTAATATAAATATGACTTGAGGCCTTAGAGTTCGAAACGCGGAAGCGAGAAAGGACTGCCGGCTGTCGGCTGCTGACTTGTATATTTAATTGTTTATAAGTCTAAGTATTGAATGGAGCCTGAACTGATTACTTTGTCATTATGCTGGCCAATGATGGACATAAAGGTTAAGCTTGATGCAATGGTATGCCAATAAAAGTTTTATCGCTGCATTAGTAATACATTCACTGTTATTTTTGTACCAACTTTTTTAGAAACTACTGATTCGGGTTCGAGTCCGCTAGAGTGAAGATTGTGTTAAAAAAAAAAAAAAAAAAAAAAAAAAATTTTTATGGACAGGTACCGTATAATGGGATGGATATAAGCTGATATTTGAAAATAGTTATAGTAGAATGGATTTAGTGTTTTATTTGGAGAGGCACACATCGTCTACTACCTTTCTCTGGTCAGTGGGTCGAAGAAAGTAGTGGCCCGAAGCGGTTTACCTTGGCTAATAATCTTTTATCGTACCTCGGAATCCACTATAAGGAAAAGTATTGTCCTTCCGTTTTAACTTTGTCATTATTTGTATGTATATATCGACCTGCTGTTGTTATGATAGCAATGAAGATCAATATGATGATTACGATTTCTTAATTGAATCAGGTTTTGTTATTTATAAATATGAATATAAATCACTTTTACCTCTACTCACTTGTCGAATAAAATTACTTTTAAAAATGAAATGTTTATAAATTTAAATGAGTTTTTTTTTTTTTTAAATTGGAATGTGTTGAGCACTGATGTAAAAGAAAATATTTAAATATAAAGTTCATTAAACTTTTAGGACTTGGGGAAAATTTTTTTTTTTTTTTAGCTAAATTAAGTAATTAAATTACAAGAAGAAAAAAAAATAAAACAGACGTTAATTGATTTCTTGGTTTACTGGATAATAAAAAATTTTAATCAAGACAAAACCTTGGGCATTTATTTTTTACCGGCATTCTAGAATACTCTATTAAGAAAACTTGACCATTAAAATAATAATAATAGTGAGTGTTAATTGGAAATAACTGTCTGCTAGTTGTCTCAAGTAATTAACTATAGGGGTTGATGTCTTTTATTTAAATTATTTAATTAGATATAATAATTATAATAATATTAATTTCTTCAATATTAGTTTTTTTACATTAAAAAAATTCACTAAATATTTATAAAAATTCGTACAATTATTTTTTTTCTAAATAGTCATAATTTTTTGAATTTCTTCTTTTAGCATTCATGTAAAAATAACGAGATCTAATTCAACAATTGCAAATTAAAAAACAAATTTGCACTTTTATTATTCTAGTCTGTTTAGTCTCAATCAAACATTTACTATCCGTAAAATAAAGAACAAATTTGTAGTATATTTTTTTATTATTTTAAACATCAAGAGTCAACAATCGTCCATTAATTTTTGTTTGACGGACAACCAGGTTAATGCATAAAGTATTTTTCCCCTGTAATGTATTTATTTGCACTCCAAACTAGTTATTATCAGCTTCTGGAAACATATAAAGTATAATTTGTTTATAATTGAAAATTACAGTGGTTGAAAATTGAAAACATCTTAATTACAAATTTCTTTATGACAATTTAAAAAAAAAAGATAAAAATTATAGTAAAAATAAATACTTATATAAACGTAGGAGTGTGTTGGGTCGAGACAACTGGTACCGGGTTCACCAGAAGAGGGTCACCCGGTAACCTACATGAGGTTCCTTGCCCGTAGCCTCCAATCCCTCTGCTTAAACTTGAAAATAATCCTCATCCAATGACGTACTCTCACCAGCAGTTGTCCACCAATAAAAATAAGGCATCTCATGTGTACAGACACCCAACACCTGGATATCTTCTGGTGTAGAGTGTGTAACACACACACACACACACACACACACACACACACACACACACACACACACACACACACACCAGAAATGACAACATACAGTGTCAACTCAGTAGAAGATTCCTTATACACACTGACATTAAAAATTAAAATAATCCAAATCCTCCCCACTATTATTTAAAATAAAACCCGTAACTTATTAAATATAACTCAATTACAATTATTAATTACAGTCCCGAAGCGCCTGTTGGTAAATAAAATAATAATAAACATTTCTTCTCTTTTCTTCTCTCCCAGACCCAGAAACTCTTCTCCGGATGGGTGTTTAACGCTGGGCCAGTTAAATGTTAATGTATTTTCACCATTTCCTTGTCATTAAACACTTATTCTGACAGTTGTCTCTGGTTCTGGGTCCGTTTGGTTGGTGGGCGCTCACCAGGAGTGGCGCCGATCCTTGACGGTTATTTGTACCTCTTTCTACCTTCTACCTTCTACCTTATACCTCATACCTGGCTACCTTCTCTTCTCTACTCTTGATTCTCTCGAGAGACTCAAGAGAAGTCTGTCTGAGTTCTGGGCCGTGTTGCTGGCTGGCTGGCTGACTGACTGACTGCCTGACAGTGTTGTGAACTATAAGACTAACTCTTAATATCTAATCGCGTGTGTCCCAACTTGTCCTAACTATTAAGATCACCAAAATATGGCCATCAAGTTATTAATTATTATTTCTTGTGTAATCGTCGCTGTATCATCTGCTGGAATACTCGGTAAGAAAAATTTTTTACAATTAGACAATTGGAAATTTTGGAAAAATTTTTAAAGATTATTTTAATACCTGAATTTTTGTTTAATTTCTTTTTAAATACAGAAACACTTTTGTCATGGGACCTACACGAAACAGAAGGAAGATCATCGACGCCTCAATCAAAGTGTCTTTGCCAAACATCCGGTTGTTTGTGTTGCGTCGATCTTAATTTAACGTCAACGATCGATCTCGGTGGCCCGGCTTGTGTAAATATCAGGCAGAAAGAAGACAACGTATCGTTGAATCTCAATTACGGTGACAATCCTGTACACAATGCAACCATAAAGATAGGTCACTATCACTAATTTATAATTGAATAAATAATAATTATTGTTATTGTTATTTTGTACGTGACACAATGTAGACTAATGTAATTTGTTGTAATATTTGAACAGCGGACGCGGCTAACAAACCGACCTGTATGAATCTACTTTCGGATTTGGCCCAGTTGTGCGCCAAGTTTACGTCAATCAAGCGACACGACCAATCAGATTACGATGGCTGTTTGGTTATTGAACCAGCATTGATGCGATCCCCACAGGCGACTTATCACGTCGGTTGCTTTAATTTCAACCACAATGTTAAGCAAATTCAAACTCCTCCAGAAAGGTAACTAGAAATTATGTTTCATTTTAATTATAGCAATTGGTCGACTCCTTATTTTTTAAAGGGTGATTTTTTAACATTTTGATGTAGTAATAATCCAATTATAAATTATTTGAATGATTTAAATCTAAATATTATATCTCTATGACGGCTGCCCAATTTTAAAACACAGTAACTGCAAAATTTTTCTACTTGTTTTTTTTTAGTATTACTGCATTTTTTATAATTTTTAGACCTTAATTTGAAGTAATTTTTCTTAAAAATATTTATCTTCAAGTATTTTCTATTTATAAATCAAATTTTTTATCAATTTGGTGCGCAAACTTTTTTTTAATAAGAAAAATTTTTTAAAATCTTAAAATTTTCAGTTACTGTGTTTTGAAATTGGGCAGCCGATTAGATATTAATGATATTAAATGGTTTTTTAAAGTAATAAAAAATTTTGAACTAATTGTTTTTTTTTGTACACTGATAGAACGGCTGCCCAATTTTTAAACAGTGCAAAATTTTTATACATGATTTTTTTTAGTATTACTGCATTTCTTATAACTTTTAGACCTTAATTACAAGCATTTTTTTTTTTTTTTTTAATATTTATATTCAAGTATTTTCTATTCATAAATCAAATTTTTTATCAATTTGGCGCGCAAACTTTTAAAAATTTTTTTAAATCTTAAAATTATCAGTTACTGTGTTTTAAAATTGGGCAGCCGAGAAGGATTTGTTTATAGTTAAAAATATTTATTTATTAGAGGCCACTTTTTAACCCTTAACAAATATTTCTTAGTATTTAAAAATATTTATTAATATTTAATAAATGAATATCACATTTATTAAATATAAACAAATAATTTTAAGTAATAAAAATAAATGTAGCAGATGCTTAATAATTTTTAGAATTTTATTTTTAAATAAATTATGGCAAAAAATATTAGAAAAAAAAATTGACATGTAGAAATTTTAAAAAATAAAAAATGCAATTTCTTAAAAATATTTTTTTGGAACAAATTTGTTTGTTAAAAAAATATAAAAATTCTCTAGTGACTGCTAACTTTAATGTCATTTTTAAATACTAAGAAATATTAGTTTAATACTCAAAAATGGTCTCTAATAAATGATTTGTTAACTATTAACAAATATTATTCAATACAAATAAATATCAGTGTACAAAATAGAAGATTCTCTAAAATGGAGTTAGACAATTTGCTAATTAAAGCGTCGATATATCTGTTAAATTTTTGGCTACTTTTTATTTGATGGTTGGTTTATTTTTTAACGCAGCATCGAAAGCACAACAGAAGCTCCTGATACACCGGAAGAAGAAGATGATGATGAAGAAATTAATACCGATGCGATATTAGCCGCGGTATCAGCAAGCGCTGAACAAGGCATTGCACTTTTTTCACATTGGCTCGGCCTCAATCTCAATCCTCGATTAAATCTCACCAGCAACAATAAACACACACAAGAAACTGCTGCTTCAAGACAAGAAGTAACAAATAATTCGAACGATGATGATAATAATAATAATAAAACGGAACGCAATGCCCGTATGTTTGATCACTATCTTACCCTGGAAGAAAAAAGTGATGAGAGATTCAAACAATTACTAAGTGCACAGGACAATATTGTTAAAGAATCGGCGAGAATCGGGCACGCTGATGAAGGCAGGACGACTTTTGTTTATGCTCACCAACAAAAACAACAGAAACAACAGTCAGTTGACAGCCCACATAAAATAAATCTACCGATTGTACCAAGGGAGTCACGTCGCGGTGGACGTGCTTACAATATTCATCAGCATGTTAACGAAGTGTGACGCTTGACAGATTTATATCCCAGTTATTAAAAATTCATATGCTTAATGTTTAATTTAAATAAAAACCTCAAGACAACGGAATTTAAAATAACGTATAGGATAGTTGTAATAATATTAATTATAATAATAATAATAATAATAATAATAATAATAATAATAATAATAATAATAATAATAATAATAATAATAAGTATGATAAGCGATAGAAAGTGGAATTACAATTCCAGTCAATCGTCATGTTAGAAAGCTATACTTTATTCAGAATGATAAATCGATTAGTTTCAAATTTTCATTTCTGTTATTATTCTAAGGTTCGTTATTATCATCATTGTTGTTGTTCTTTTTTTTAGGAACGATACAATGGAGAAAACTTTCATTGTTAATTGTCCGTGACATTTTTTTACGCTCTGATGAAAAACTAAATTTTGTTACGGGAAATTTGGTAATTTACCATTATTTTTATTGTTTAAAATGTTCTCTAGTTATTTTATTTATTCATACGTTAATTGATAAAAAATTTATTTTTAAGCGTCAAAAATTTTTTAATTTATTTATTTTCAAATTTTTTAATAGTAAAATTTATAAGAAAAAATCATTTAAATTTATATAAGAACATTTTTTACAATAAAAAAATTCAACTTTTACAGTAATCAAAAATTTGTAAGACGCCAGAACCGCAAATTAATAACTCTTACAAATATATTTCTTTGCGCATTGTATTTTATTATCTTTCTAAAATAATTAATTAATAATTAGCATTTTATGTTAGATATATCGTTATGTATTGATCAATAAAAATATTACTGTAGAAAGTAGCATTTTAATTACACTCAAAATTTAACGTTTAAATTTTTATTTTAAATAATCATTGACATATTTGTTCGTCAGTTAATTAAATATTATAAAACTATTCTACTTATCGGCGTCGTTGCACATTTTTAACACACATTTTAATCTACTGCAAAAATTATTCGTCTATTCATTCTATCAATTAAGATGCTTAATTAAAAAACAATTTTTAGATATGATTTATTTCCTTTAGAATAAAGCACCCGTTTTTCTCTTATTGCATTATTGGATTACATGTTTCATGATTTTTATTATTATTACGTCCTTTATTTTGTTAAAAACTATTAATTTTTTAATTTACCATTTTTAACTGGAATGTTTTTATTATTTTCGATTTTTGGAAGACAAAATCTATTGGCAGTAATTACATTTTTTTTTTTCTACCGGACGTCTATTAATTTTAACTCTATATAATTTGATATTTTATTTTTTGATTATAAAAAATTATTTAATTTAATATACTATCTTATCTCAGTTAAAATTATATAAGAAATATATAAAATTGTCATTTTTTTCATCACCTTATAAATCTATCTATTTAATTATAATTGATTATTATAATTAATAATAATAATGATAAAAATTAATGATATACATGCGATTTAAAATTTTTTTTATAACGGCTTCCAGAGCAAAATATTACTAGTCGACTAGATAACTAATATTAAACAATATCGTTTGTTTATTTTTAAAAAAGTAATTAATAATAATAACAATGAAAAAAAAATTTACTTTTTTTTAGAGAAAAAAATATCGGATCTGCGTGACAATAAAAAATATTTTTGGATTTAATCTTTGGGTGATTATAGTTATTATATAAATATAAATATCTATATATATATATGTATATAATAATTAATAATTAATATTTAATTTAATAATAATAATATAAAAATTTTAAAAAAGATTTTATAAAAAAACCTTTGGATCGTACGATTTCTTCTTAGGCTCCTATTGAAATATAAATTATTAATGTAATAAATTTGATCGTTGATTTAATATCGGATGGCTTGATCATAAGCAACGGCCAATTCAAGTTAAATAATAACTGCGTTGGATAAATTTGTTGGCTGATAGCAAAAGAGCTTCGATAATTTAACTATCATTAACGTCAACGGAAATTGATTATCGTACAAGTAAAAAATATATATAAATGAATAATAATTTCAGTAGCGTAATGATAGCGTTAAGAGTATAACGTTAAAAGCGATTCCATCGCTTCCCCGGTTGATTGCTCACTCGACAGCTTGTCGTACCACATTCGAACTCCCGGCGACCGTTGCTGCTACTGCCGTTGCTGTTCCTGTTGTATTTTCTTTTTTTCTTCTGGACACCCGGCGGCCCACGTGTAATATTACATCGCCGGTTTTTATCGCTTTGAATTCAGCAATTGCTTCTGCATGCGTCATGCCGTGGAGTGGCTTTGAATTTATCGACAGTATTTCGTCGCCTGTAATACAAAAACACAAGTGTCAATACAATCATACTGTTATTAAAACTAATTACTATAATTTTAGTGACATCATACTTTTTTTTTTTAATTGTTATATTTCTTTTTCGTCAATTTTTTAGTTAAAATATTCGAATTTTTTATGTAAAATTAAAAAAAAAAATATTTTGTCAAAATTTTATTTTTTATTTTTATTGATTAAAAAAAAAAATTAAATTAAATTTTAATTCAACTAAATTTTACTTGATTAAATTATTTTTCTACTTGACTCAAATTTTTTTTTTTTAATTTATATCAATTTAAAAAATAAAAAAAAAATTGGGAATAATATATTAACACTAACTACTATAACTTTGGTGACATACTTTTTTTTTTTTAATAATTGTATTTATTAATAAGGTAAAAGACTCAGTTATTGACACTGGCCTAGTTATTGACACTTGTAATTTTATTCTAATTAAAAAAAAAAAAATTAACTAATAAATTAATAAATATAATTTTTGAATTATAAATTTTAAAAAAATTGGTTTTTTGAGAACATTTAATTTTTTTAATTAGAATATAATTGCAAGTGTCAAACAACTAGGCCAGTGTCAATAACTGGGTCTTTTACCTTATTGTTTTTTTTTTTAATAATTATATTTATTTTTCTAAAATTCACTCAAGTTGGTCGTAGTAACCAAAGATTTTTTTAATAAGATGCAGTTTAACTTAAATTAATGTGAAGAAAAATTGTAAAAAGTAGTTTTTACTGCTGTAAAATGTCCGAATAAATCTAAATCTATCAATTTTTAAATAATCGAATTTTATTTTTAATTTAAAAAAAAAAAAAATTGGGAAGAATATATTATAACAACCATAGTCTATATTCAAATTTTACTACTAGTTTAAAATTCAACAACGTCATTAAAATTCAAACTTTTAAAGCCTAACTCTATACATAAATTTTCAAAGCACATTATTCAAATGAAAACCAATATCATCTTTTATACAATCCACCAGAATTAAAATTTAAAAACTTTTTACAGTTACACTACGATGTATCATAACACAGATGTCAGTTTCCATGTCACTCATCTCATCAATAATTAAATGCCTACTAAAAACCAGAAATCAATCATCGAATAAATTTCCCACATGTTTAAAAAAAAAACACTAATATCTATATTAAAAAAGTAACATTCCAATCCCCACACTGAAAAACCTACATGTGACTATAAATAAAAAACAGAAAATCACACACATGCCAGCCAATTTAACAGCTTGCATGTCACAGATATATTTCTCATGTTATTATTTAAAGAAATAAAATCGTTTAAAAGATTACCTTCTTTGACAGTTCCCAAATCAGCGGCCTGTCCGTTAGGAAAGACAGTTTTAACATAAATTCCCATGTTGCCCCTGGGGCTGTCAGTGCCCCCCACAATACTGAACCCGAGTCCTTTGTGTCCCGGACCTTTAGAAAACCTCGCCGTGAGAATAGTGAAAGAAGCAGTGCCTTTTCCCGGCCTCGGGAGCGTACAAAACCGAGATTCTTCACCTTCGACCTCTTGGATGTCTTCCAGCTCGCTGTCAGAGTTCAGCCCCTCGTCAGTCTCCTGTCCTTGCCAGGTTTTCATCCCAGGTCCAGAGGAACCAGCAATATTCGCGACACTTCTGCTGCTCAGTCGTCTGCCGGATTTCTTCCCCGGACTCTTATCAGTTCCCAAACTTGAAGGTCCGTGTTCGCCGTTTCCATAAATACTGCTTCCATTTATCAGCGAGTAGTTGGCCACAGACCCGCCGATAACGAAATCAGTGCTTCTCTTCCTGGGACTGATTCTTGGGATGTGAATTTCATCAAGATCGTCGTCCCTGGAAAGCCTTCTCGAGCGCGTGGAGCTTGACAGTGATTTTTCAAACCTGACATTTTCGTAAGAATTATCAGCAGGTCGCCGATTACTCGCAGGCGTATTTTCTCGCTGCAAATTCGTTGCAGTTGGTCCGCTCTCCGTTGGCGAGTAGATCGCCGAGCGCCGGCATCTTTGGAACGGAACGTTTTCATACGCGTGATGATCAGTTCCGCGGTGTTCCGAGTTGCTTCTACGCAGAGTGTCCACGAAAACACCGGTCTCGTAAATCCGCGAATCATTGCTGTCATTTAGGAGAGAATCTTCATGGTCATGATTATTGCTGCTTTTATTAAGACTATGATTATGATTATGATTGTGATTACTATTACTGCTATTATTGTTATTATTGTTAGCAGTAATTGAGTAAGAAAAGGTCCTCTTGTCGTCCTCGGCTGGATACCTCGGAGAATTGGGCGCGCTGGCTTCCGCGAGGGTCGTCAATTTCTCATTGAGCGTGTACGCCGAAAGCGAGGCCTGGTGAACCTGGTGATCCGTGGAGACCCGTGTATCGAATTTTTCACTGGTTGAACTCGACAGGGGACTTGGAACGTAGAAATTGGAGACGTTGTCCTTGGGCGGAAACACCTCAGTCACGCTCAGTGCCTTGCGTTTCCTTATGCCGGCATTTATCTTGCTTAATTTACTCCTCAGCACGTTCTGGATGTCTGCGATCCCTTTACTAGTACCTGCAATAAATACATATGTATAAATAACTAAATTTATTCATATTACTCATCTACTGGTTTATGTTATGCTTTTTGTAGCCTTTTTTTTCTTTGAATTTTAATAAACTTTTAAGAACGGACTACACGGAAAAAATAGGGTTTGAGTTTAAATGTTACATGAGGTGTTGAAAATAACAATAGGTACTTTTAAATTTCTATTTAAATACTTTTTGTAGAAAAATTTTTGACAATGTATTGTGTTTTAGAACTGACGTCATTTTTGTAAATTATAGCGATTGAATTATTCTACTTGCTACGATGATTATTTTAATAGTTTTAAAAAGAGACGTTGAAACAAGATTAGTAAGAACAAAAAAAATTTGAAGAATTTTGATACTATACACAATTTTTTATTTTATTTGAAAGAAGATTCAAGTGGACACAAAAAAAATTGTTTTTATTCGAGTACTCAAAGAAAAAAAAATTTTTTTTTTAAGAAATTGTCGTCAATATGGAAGAACACGGAAAGAACAAGATGACACTGGATACCATCTCAGATTATATTCAGTGACATCTGAGGCGAAAAAAAATTTCAGATGGTAGCTAGTATATACTCCAGATTATACTGAATAATATCTGAATTATACTCATTGTTATCTGGATTATACTAGCTACTATCTGAATTTTTTTTTTTCACTCAGTATAATCTGGGATTATATCCGGTATAATCTTGTTCTTTCCGTGAATATTTTGTAATTAAAAAAATAAAAAGTTGAAATTTGAAAGAAAAAATTTTCTTATCAATTTTTGGAGTAACTTATTTCGATAAAAAAATTCCAAGGTTTCGCTTTACTAAAATACAAACAGCTTTAATGAAACATTTAATTACTTTCATGAGAATTTTTGTACGTCCAACGATCTTAACTTTTTTTTTACATTCCATATACTTACTTTAGTGTGTTGATGATTTTGTAGACGTTATACAAACTTATTTTAAAAATACTAATATTTTTCTTAGCCTCAACTTTGATAAATAACGTTTGATATTTTTATTTATTAACAAATAAAAATTAGTTATTAATAACAACATAACACATTAATCATAAAATTATTTAAAATGAGAGCCCATTTATAAGACTTATTATATTGTGTTGCTTTTTTTTGAGTGATGAAAGACTGGTCTATTAGTTCTCTCGATCACAATAATAATCTCAAAGAATATTTTTTTTCAGAAAATAATACTCGAGTCTTTATTTAATTATTACTATTTTTATCAGCGAGATTAGTTGTAATAATAAACATAAGTATTAATCACTGTAAATATGCGTAATTAATTATCTATTTAAATTAATTTATAGGGTTAAATTAAAATAAAATACTAAATTTATAGATTTTTATAAAATAAGAATCAAACGCTTTAAATTTTTTTTTTTATTATACTTCTCACTATCACATGATAAATATTTTCGTCTCTTATTTGACTTTAGAAGTAGATAAAAATATAAGTTAGACACTGTGAGAAAAAATTTTTTTACACGAAAATTTTTTTTAGACGAAAATAACTTGATTTCTACAATTACGGAGTAATAAATAAAAAAATCAATAAAATTTCAATTAACACGAATTTTTAAGTGAAAATTTATTCTTGTATTAAAAATTGAACAGGTTAAAATTTTTACTGACCATTTAAAGTTTTAGTGTGCTCACTTTTATTATAATATATAAAGGTTTTACTATTTACCTTTTTTACTTTAATTTTTATAGTGCAATCAAGTTTCTTACTTTTCATGCTACTGTTAGAATACCTATATAGATAAATTCAAAATTCTTCAAGGTGCTTTTATTCATTATGATAGTTAAATTTTTTACTGCGATATTAGTGAAAAATATTTTTATTTTTACTGAGTCCATCCTTGAAGAATTTTCTACTGCTGAGTATTATAAAATGGTTTTAATAATATATCTTAAAATAAAAGTTCTAAAATTGGTCCAAGACTGTGAAATGAAGTCAAAACAAGAGACTGTTTAAATTTCTTTTAAAACTTATTCTAAACAATCGAATTCCAGGAAAAAATTTTTTTTTATTTGAAAATAGAAACTCGAAGCTTGCAGAACATTATTTAAATTTATTACAATTTTTATTGTAACTTATCAATGAATTTATAGCGTATTGCAAGTAGAATAATTTTTTCTAATCTTTAATTTTCTTCAAATTTTTTCACAATAGATGAAAAAAAATTTGGTTAATATTGAGTGTTATTTTTCTGTGAAGTATGTAACAAAAATTTTCTTTCATGTTAAATTTACAATACTTTATTCTCTTATAAAATTTTTTAACTACTTTAAATTAATAATAAAAAAAATTAAAATCTTACTACAGTTAAAAAAAAATATGAAAATGAAGTTAGCAGACATTTCAAAATTTTTAGAAATTTTTTATTGAAAAAATTTCAATTAAAGAATTTAAAAAAAATTATCACATGTAAAAAATTTAAAAAGCTATAAGTGCAATTTTTTAAAAATATCTTTCTAGTTGTAAATTAATTAATAACAAAAAATCAAAAATTTTTAGGTGTCTGCTAACTTCAATGTCATAAAAAAATTGACATTTTATTTTTGAGAAGAAATTGTCAAAAAAAATAGAAAAATAGAAAATTTGATAAATTAAAAAAAAAATTTTTTATTTTGTTAAAAAAAAATTGAGAATTTCAGTGGCCATTATAAAGAATAAAGAGCAAAAAAAATTACCAGGCAATCTCAATGAACTTGTTTGCAATAATTTCTTTGGTGAACATCTATCTCTGGACTTAGGTGCCGGAGAGGCTTCTCTACTAGTCGGCGTAGACCTGACGCCATGAATAACACCAACCCTTGAAGCACCTTGTATCAATGATTCATCCTGATGCTCGGATATCTCTTGAACAGAACATCTGCGTCTGAGCTTCCTCCATCTCTGACTGATACTCTTGTTCCACAGACTGAGGTCTACATAGCAAAAAAAGCGATCGTCATAAATCAAAGTCTCTCTTAATCAGCATACAATACAGAAAAAAAATAATTAGAAAAACAAAATAAATAATATATACAGTTGATAATAGTTTCCATCTTTTGGCCTCAATCGTCCGATGACTTTTTTGAATAAACGACGCCTTGATAAATAATTGATGCCGATTAACTACGCCGTTGACGTTGAAATTTAAAAAAATAGTCGGGGGTCACCGAATAAAGTCGCTTACTCGAACGATTTTAAATTAAACCAACCAGTGAACTTATTCCTTTTAAATTCATTAATTATGCTAATTATTTCAAATTAAGTGTTCCAACATGACAGTATGATTTTTACCTCGTGTTTATTATTATCGACACAAAAGCAATAATTATGTAATATATTATGACTTACGACGATGATAATGAGAAGAAAGATAATAAAAGGTTTTAACTCTTTTTTTTCTTCCGTCGTAAATTATTATCTCTCATCGTGTCATTGTTCTTGGTCTCTTTAAATGAGTTTAATGTTGATGATCTTTCGGACATTATTACCAGCCACCGAATAATAAATACATATAAATTTTGTTCAATACATTTAAGTATCTACATATATATATATATATATATATATATATGTTTACAAGAATACTTTCACTTTTATCCAACGGCAAATTTATACACGCTGTTACTCAGCTTCACCAACAAATAAAGACCGGGGTTTATAAAACAGTTGTTGTTTTATTCTCTAAGTACCACTGATTCCTATCAGACGATCTCGATTCTTCGTGTGCCATCAGCATATTATTTCCAGTTATTTTTTTTTTGATTTTTCATTTTTTTTAAATGATTTTTTCTCTATTTACATAAAAATTGTGTTTTTAAAATTTGATCAAATTAAACTGACAATTTTTTTCGACACATTATTATTATTTTAATTTATAAAACAAATTTTGAAAGTTTATATTGATTTGGTTCAACAACCATTTGAATTTCAAATCGAAGAATTTGAAAATAAAAATAAAAAAATCCAACTACAATTGCCACCATTATTTCAAAATAATTTTTATATTATTTAAAAAAAAAAAAATTGTTTATATTATATATTTATATAAAAGGTCAAGATCTAAGATATAAGTCCTCGATCCTTTGACAATTTATCCGTGAAAATTAATTTTAGAATAATTATAGAGCGAAGGGTTGAAAACAGTGCGGCGTTTTTTCAAATTCAAAAAACTCAACTACACTGTACGCACTCGCGCTCAAGACTGGACTAAAGAAAAACGACGCCGTGCGACATACAGACATACACATGGCTTTATGTGGGGATATATTTATATATATATATTTTTGTATGGATATATATGTGAATATATGTGGTATAGAGAGGCAGCATAGCAGCCGCGCGCAGCTTTAAAATTATTCAGTGGGTCTTTATCGGCAGTAGTACATCGAGTATCTTTATCTTTTTCTTGATGGTTTATGGTTGTTAGTATTTGTGTGTTGTGTGTGCAGTGGTTGTGCACGATGCACGTGCATTTATGAGTAATACAGACCGGCATGCATTATTGCTCCAAACAATTGCAGGCACACCTTACTGTTTATTTATTTAAAATCCTTACCCTTGTATAATTAGTTGCACTTCCGGATTTTAAAACTTTTGTTAAACATTTTTTTAATGTTAATTTTATAAAAAAAACTCCATTGCTAATTAGTTTTTGCTACAGTTTTTATTCGCTGAATGATTTAATGGAATTAATGACTGCTGGTATAATTAAATACAAGAGGATTTATTTTAAATTTAAATTTTTTACGTGTAGTCATCAGAATTAATTATTTATTCTAGACTTGTTTTAAACTCTAACAAATGCCATTTGTTTTAGTGGAAAGTTTTCTCGTTTAAATTACGATATAAAGTTGCAAGTTATTTAAATAGTTTTGTCTGTAAAAAAGTTTTCTGCATTTTTTCTATGCTTTATTATTGACTTAATTAGATTGAAAGTTATTATTTACAGTATTTTCAATTTATAATTAAAAAATGATTTATTATTCACTAAAAAAAAAATCTGTAATTATTGCTCCAATTTATTATAAATTATTTTTTGCAAATCATTATTTAAATTGTAAGGAAAAAAATTCGGCAAAAAAATTGAATTTTTTTTAATCATTGTTTCTCTTTTTTAAGTGTTATGTCGTTATTGAGAAAATTTTGAGCAAGTCATTGTTTAAATTATAATTTATTAATTTTCAAAAAAAAAAAAAAACATTGAAAATTTATAGAAAAAATTTTGTTAATTAAGCTAATTTTTTATGCGTCATTGACTATTATTTGCAAGTCATTGTTTTTTTATTTACCGTTAATTATTCAAATAGGTTTTTTATTACGAAAATAAAATCGAATAATTATGAATTATTTACGTTATTATGATTTTCAATTAATTAAATCATTTGAGACATTATTTTATTCTTACATTTATAATCAATAAAAAAAACAGTACATTTTTTTGTTTATTTCAATCTTCACAAAAAAACTGAATTTTTTAATAAGTTCAATACTTTTTTAGCGTTAAAAAAATTTTTTTAAACCAAAGAAAAATATTTCTTATGTTTCAAAATAAATACACATAATTTTATCTCAATATATTGATTTAAAGTTATTAATTCATAAAAATAACTATGATAATTCTTTTGAAGCTAATTTTTTAGACAAAAATAAATTAATAACTAAATTTTTCTAATTTTGATGTAAGTAAAAATTTAACCACAGCATAAGCATAATAATAACAAGAATTTTTTTTTTAATTAATTGAAAAAAAAATTTTTAAAAATGATTCATAATTTTGCTATGATATTCGCTAAAAAATATATAATTGTTATTAATAATAAAATTAATATCGATTCTTCAAAAAGTGAAAAAAAAACTATCCTTCATGTTTAGTATTTAAAAAAAAAAAAAATTTTTTTTAGATTTTTTTATAGAAAATATGATAAAATATATTATTGAAAAAATTTTTAATTTACAACCAAATTTAGAACCAAAGTTTAAATAAAAAAATTTAAGATAAATCCAAAAAATAACAAAACACCAAACTAAAACTGTCTTAAAAAAAAAAAACTTGATAACACTTGAAGATTTCCAATCTTAAAATCCCTAAAAAAACAGCCTTGTACCTAATCGAAGAACTTCGTTTTATCAATTTCTCCCGTCACTTAAGGAAATTCCAAAATAATCTAATCAGTGCGCAATCTAAAGTCCCGACCTAAAAGTCCTTCCCACAACTCGGCAATTAATCCCCCGAATTTATCATATCAGTAAGCATTTAACTTAGGTATTTATCCGACACAAAAACTCCATACCTCGTACATCCACAGAAATCCACTAAACAGTACTCTTATACTAATGGCATGTGTCTGGTATATTGTATATATTGTACATTTTCAGGAAATAGAAAGTATAAGTAGAGGTCATAGAAATACTCAGCCAGAATGTCACGATTCACGCTGTCGAGGACATGGTTGAGAAAAAGTTAGCCTTACAACTTACGGCTTACAACCACCATACATTTATTTAATTTAAGTTCATCATTATCATTACCATTTTATTACTCCATACCAAGAAAAAAAACTACGTCATAATACTTACTTTGCAACAATGTAAGTAAGAATAAAAATAAACAGAGAATTCTCACGTCACCCCATAACCTTAAGTAATCCAATTAAGCGTCACATAGCGGTTCCTTTGTCTTTTATAAAGCTCTATATACCATTACCCGTCACATAATAACTAATAACAATATAATTTCTCTCCACGTGCGTTTAATACCGTTCTCTATCCCCATTCTTTATATGGTTAATTGATGCAGAACTCTGTCCAAATAAAATAACATTTTTAAATTTATTATTCATAATCCCCCTAGGATAGCACTATATACCTATATTATATACATATATTACTCCGTATAGAAGTATACTGATATTATATGAAGATAAACCATTTTCAACCCTCGTAATTTTAAATTTATTTATTTTAAACGCTAAAAGTACTAGGTATTCAATTTAAGGTTTTATGAGGGACTAAAAAACACCTACCCGTTATATGTTTTTTTGTATTAATTTAATATTTATAAATAATTCAGAAGATTAAAAACAAGAAATTTTTTAGAGTCTGTAATAAATGTAATACTCGACTTTTCATTTCCTCTATTCAATAATATACTCTTATACTTAATGTTTAATATTTTTTGATATAGGGGAGATCTGTCCGTGACGGCTCTTTCAAACAAGTCATTTTTTCTTGTGGCTTTGAGCACCGGATATTCATTTTTTCCATCTTCAACAGACACTATTTTACAGTAATTTAAGAAAAAAATTTTTAAGACACAGCCTCCTTTGAAAAGTTACTAAATTATATTAATCAAAAACATTTTAAGGATCAGAGAGAACAACTTATTTCTTATTTATTCAAGATGTGGTTTTAATTAACGATTTAAATTATTTTTAAGTAAAAATTTCTTTCACTTAAAAAAACATTTAGAGTTAATTATTATAATTAAAACATTAATAACTATAATGTAAATATTTATTTATCGAAAATTTTTTAAACTACCATTAATCTTATACTTTCAGTGTGTCAAGAATAAATATAATTTTATTTAATGGGGATCAAAAAGTCAATAAGATAAGTCAATTATATAGTTATTTATAACTAAAATTATTTTCTGTCTATTAAATAGATAAAAGTAATTTTTCTCAGCTGGAATTCAAATTTATATTATTTAATTTTTCTTTATTGAAATTACTCATAGGGTGTTAAATAATCGCTTTTGATTAATGGGTTTACTGAAAAATACCTCAAGATTTTTTCCTTTTATTTGATTTATTTCTATCAAAAGAATACTTATTTTGACGCGCAGCGACAGTATTTCGTTACGGTGTTTTTTACCGATAGATATAGATATATTAGTGTGTCACCAAAATTATGACCAGAAAAATTTTTAAAATTCCTCAGCTATCCTTGATAATCCATATTTAAAACTCAAAGCTTGAAAGGTGTATTGATTATTTTTTTATAAATAGATGCAACAATAATAACGGGACAGCGATTATGTAAAAGACCATTTATCCATAAAAATATGAGCTCTGTTTTTTATAAAATTAAATTACCCAGCATCCCTTTCAATGACATAAATTTTTACAGCGTTATTGCGTAAAAATATAATTGTTTATCTGAATAAAAAGAGCTCTGAAAAATCAACGCTCGTATTGACGAGTGAGAAAATCAGTTATTTATAAATAATAAAATAAATAAAAATATTATTGACAATAGGACAAAAGTACGTGGCTGTTGCATGTGTGAATGGAATGCGTAAGCGATTGTCGGGTGTGCCATGTCCCATGTCTCGTGTATAGTTACAATACCCTGTATCTATATCTGTATACTCTGTAACTACCGTCGTCGGTTAAGTTAATTTTTTTCAAAAAAATAAAAATAAAAAATAGAAAACTCCGCTGTTATCAAGTAACATATTAATGCCGCTATTCTAATCTATTGTGGAATGGTTTCTATCCAATACCGGTGGTAGAATTTTTCCAAAAAATTTTTATTAATTATTTAAAACTTATATGACTCAGTTTGTTGTAAATCAAGTCAAGTTAATCTACGTAACAAAATTTAAACAAAGTTGACTTGAGAATTAGATTTTTTTACCACACAATAGAAAGTTTGCGTCAAAAATCGATGCATACATAAATAAATAAATAAATGAATAACTAAATGTAATGTTAATGTTAAATAAGTTAAAAGTATTGATAAGTAAGCAGAGTAAGAGGTGTACATTAGATTAGTAATATAAGCGGTAAGTTGAGAACTGCTTGCATAATTAGAGTCAACGATGCGTACCGACTGGCCTCAGCCATTGTCTGTATACAGTTACCCGATTATTCTTGTGAAGACACGAGTGAGCGAGTTACAAGCTACAACGAATCTACTGTATTCCGTATTATTTTGTGTGTATGGGTTTCAAATTGAATATGTATGTTTACGGCTAAATATTAAGATGGATTTGTGTATGTATTATATGGATGGTTGTTGATATGAAGAGGATGTATGGATATGAATGTATGTGTGTATGTGTATGTTTGTATGTGCATAAATAAAGTGTGTTGAGAGCAGAGTCTTAACGACGGAACGTGGTGCAATGCTCTGCAAGAGTGACGCGTCAATGGCCTTGTGAATCTACTGTCAAGGAGAGCGAAATCAAAAATAATAAAAATAACAGCCCTTGATTGTTAAGCTTTAATATGTAGCATTTGCAATTTTTACTTTACTCAAGGTTTTTAAAACCGTTTATTACCTACACGATTTTTTTTAATTCTTTTATGGTTTTTAATATTACCGGTTTGCATATATGCACAATATACATTTACTGATACCATTTTTACATGTTTATTTCAGTTGAATTATAGTAATTAATTAATTGAAAAAAACTTACAAGATTATTAACACGACTATTTTTGTATACTTCTAATGAAACAAATTAAATTGCAATAATTTTTTTTTAATGTTAGTTTTATGACTTTTTAAGTAGATATATCTAACGGTTTAGTTGTTATCTAATTCATGAAAATAAAATTAATTATGGAAGTTGTTGAAATTTAATATTTATGGAGTGAAGTTGAAATTTATTTACTTTAATTTTTATGCATATGCATTCAAATTAATCAAATTATTTAAAAAAATTTAATATAAAATTAGTCATAATTTTTTTTTAATTACTCCAAAATTAAATTTAGCTAAGAATTTTTTTTAATAAATTTTTTAGTCATATTCACATTTTATACTTTTGATTTTTTAAAACGAATTTTTTATTTAATTTAAAAAATAATAAAAATTTGTTAAATATAGAATTTAATGATTAAAAATTATTAATTAATTTAAAGAAAAAAAATTTTAATGACGCGGATAAGATAAAGATCAAAATTTAAAACTAATGACAGTAAATTAAAAAAAATGTTATTATCAATTTTCATAATAAGTTACTGTTCACAATGAGCAATTAATAAAATAATTATTATTTACATAGAAAATTTTTAATTGAGTAGTATAAAAATAAAACTGAAATTGCCTATCATTGGTACCATTAATTTAATAATGAGTGTAAATTACACTGAAAATAGTTATTGCCTTAATGTATGGATAACAATTTTTCTATTAATATAAATATGGTTAATTTCAGCGATATTGTGACGTAATTATTCTATTGAAAGACTAAGTAATAAATAATTATCAAAGTATTTTCCGCGCGTTATTATACTAATTAGAATAATTATAAGAGTTTAATTAAAGGTTACAATATTGTAGTAAAACTGACTTTGTGAGATAACAATCCAGTAGGATTTAATGTTACTAATTGTCGCCGGCTGCCTCAAGTTTAAAACTTTGTTGAGCATCTGCATATGCCTATTTTTACTTTATTTCAAAAGGAAATTCCAAAATTAAAGTTTCACTCGCGATACGGCACTTTGAGCCTGTGACTGTAGAAAGTACTTTTTTTCGTGTAGCGCTGTACTGCCAGTTTTAGAATTCTTAATAATATCTCTGGAATTTCGAGAGTTTATGCAGTTGAAAGTAAATTTTAAACTTTTAATTTCACGAGTTTAGATTGTACTATTTTTACAATTACGTAACTCGATAATTACAGTAGGCTTGTTTCGCACATTGGAGCAAAATATTTATTTTTTATTTTTATTTATAAAACTGCGAACTTAATGAAATAGTACACTGAAAAATTGAACATGATCTCGGTGTGAAATTTTCTTAGCTGTATTCTAAATTTGCACTATTTGAAATATTAGAATTTCGACTTTGACTTAATATTTTGTGGAAAAAAAGAGATATAAAAAAATTTTTAATAGAAATTTTAATTTCAAAAAATTCCTAAGCCATAACTTTTTTTTTATTACTCAAAAAAATGTGTTCTTGTCATTGATAGTTGTTAATTTTTTTTTTTTTTAATTGTATCCAGACTATTAAAAAAAAAAATAAAATTAAATGTTTAAAAAATTAATTTTTTTAATATTAAATATTAATTTTTTTTTCCATTAAAGACTATTAATTCCTTTAATGGAAAATTAAGATTCATAAAAGATCTGTAAATTTCAAGGCCGATTTTACCATAAAATAAAAACATATATAAATCATTTTTAGCCTCTTTGTCTATTAATCAAATATTCCACACATACGAATTATTCTCAACAAAAAGTTATCTTTAAAAAAATTATGAAACGGGTACACTATGGTTATGAGTATGAGTAACACATATATTCACTATCAGTTAATTTTTGACTCACATAACAAGAAAAAAAGTATCATTAGTTTGCTTAGTCATATACTAATTTTTTCTGTTCATAATATTTTTCCGTCAGACAGCTTAATTATCACCATAATTAGTACCTAACCGATACATAAAAAATGGCTTTGAGCATCCATAAATGGTATTAATTATATAAAATTAAATAAAAATATAATAATTATTACCGGCATAAATAATTATCGCGTTAGAACAAAAAAAAAAAAAACAACTAAAAGATAGGTAATTTAAATTGATTTAACAAAAAGAGGATGATTTGACAATAGAACCGCCCGCATAATGTGTGGAGTTAAAATTAAATTCTATAATATGTACTATAATATTATACATATTCCGTTCTCATCTTAACCGGCATGAGAACTTAAACCGACACGATGTCTATCGAGGTTACATGTTAGTAAATATATATAAATATACTGACTAGAGGGTAAATGTATGTGTGTGTATATATAGCATTTGAAAGATAGCAGACAACTGCATCGTATCGTGCACTTTTTTCTCGATAGCCTGTGTTTTTACGAGAACGGGACTGATGATAACCAGAGGCGCCTATTCATTACAACAAACTATCTGCTTTCAAGAAAATAACATGTATTTTACCCCAAATAAGAACAATAGATCTACTTTTGTTAATCATTATCATTGTAACACAATTTTGGCGCAGATACCGAAAAAAAAGTCTGTATTTATGACACTGAAGTTAGCAGACGTCTAAAAATTTTTGATTTTTTTTTTTTTAAATTAATTACAACTAAAAAAATATTTCTAAAAAATTGCACTTATAGTTTTTCAAGTTTTTTACATGTGAAATTTTTTTTTTAATTGTTTAATTGAAATTTCTTCAATAAAAAATTTCTAAAAATTTTTAAATGTCAGCTAACTTCATTTTCATCTGTATTTTTATTTTTGACATAAATAATTACCCTTTAAGATAACGATAATCATTGTGGCAATTAATAAATTCACATATCTGAACGAGAAAGCGACTTATTAACATTTAAAAACTATTTATTTTAGAAAGTATCTCACCTTTACTCTCGCAGACATCGCACAGTACCATTTTTCAAGAACCACAAACCGGCATTTAAGCAAAGTTTATTTTAAACAAAAAGAAAAATAGAAAAAAGCGATTTATTGTAAACATTTAATCGTATCATCACGACCTAAACGGCATGTTACTTTTTAAACGGTAGGACTTAAATGATTATGAGACGGAATAACTGAGTATTGAGTCATTGAAATTCCTTTTTTTTGGATGGATTCTATATTGTATAAAATATTTTGAGAATTTATAAAATTTAAATATTAAGCTTTAACTAAACAGTTTGACAGCTAAGATAGCACTGCGCCAGCAACCGGCATATGGGCGACATCGGGATGGTATTAGTTTAGGAGAGGGGACGATTCATTGTAATGTAATGTTAGTAGTATTCAAGCTCGCGCTAACTCTGTTCATCCAAAGGCACTAGAGTGGGGAAGACAGGAAGAAGTTTGGATCAATATTGGGGCGTTGATTCCTGCCCAGGGGTTCGTGTCCTCTGTTACAGCCAAAAATACATCCTTACACCCTAACATTGCTTTTTCCACATGAAAATCACGTCTCTATTCGATAAAAAAAAAAATCAGCCTCTTACATACTTGATTTAATACCAATTACATCAACAAAGTAATAATTGATTTGGACGGTAATGGGAAAATTACTTTTATAAAAGAAAACAAATTATTGGAGTTAGAAATAAATTAATAATTCTACTCCTTTGTTGAAGACATATCAAATTTTTTTTTTGGAGTGAAGAATAAAAAAATTTTTTTGGTATAAGATAAGGAAATTTTATGAAAATGAAGTTAGACGATATTTCAAAATTTTTAGAAATTTTTTAATGAAAAAATTTCAATTAAAAAATTAAAAAAAAAAATTTCACATGTAAAAAACTTGAAAAGCTACAAGTGCAATTTTTTAAAAATATCTTTTTAGTTGCAATTTAATTAATAAAAAAAATTAAAAATTTTTAGGCGTCTGCTAACTTCAGTGTCATAATTTTATGAAAATGAAGTTAGACGACATTTCAAAATTTTTAGAAATTTTTTATTGAAAAAATTTCAATTAAAAAATTTCACATGTAAAAAACTTGAAAAGCTACAAGTGCAATTTTTTAAAAATATCTTTTGAGTTGTAATTTAATTAATAAAAAAAATTAAAAATTTTTAGGCGTCTGCTAACTTGAGTGTCATGAAATTTTAATAAAAAATTAACAAATCATTGAATCAAAGTTTTAAATTTTTACTGGTGAAAAAATTTATTTTGACAACTTATTTCGAAAAAATTAAATTGATATAAAAATTAACTTGATTGAAAAGAAGAATCTTGAACCTAAAATGCCATTTCGACAATTTTCTTTGTTTTCAATCAATCAATAAATTTGTTTTGGTCAAATTTTTTTCTTTTAAATCAAGTTAATTTTTTTATCAATAAAAATATTTAAATTTTGTACCGATTTTTATCTAAAACACCAGTATCTTATGTCAAGAAATTTTTTTATTCAATTACTTGAATAATAATGATAGTAATAATACTACTACTACTAATAATAATAATAATCTAACCACTAACTAAAAAAAAAAATTGAACATACCTTTTTTCTCTTCAGTTTCAGAGTCACTATTAAGTGTCGTCGAACTCTCAGTACGAAGATCGGTTTTCAATAGCTCGAGTTGCCGATCAGACTCTTTTATTAAACCATCTAATATATCCGGTCTTGCAGTATGTACACTTGTACGATATTCTTTGCGATCGATAGATGCTTGTCGTTGTTCCCGACGTCTTCTTACCGGTGCTTTAGGTTGATCTTGATCCAGCTCCTGCAAGTGATCTTGACATTGATTCTGATTGAGACTAAAACTGTTAGTAAGATTGTGATGCTGATGTTGAAATTGTTGGATTGGCACCACTGTATAATTTGTTCTTATTTCTCTTTCTTTCTCCAGCTCCTCGGATGACTGGGGTGTCAGTAAACCAGCTGGTGCCTGAGCTATTATTTTCTCGATCTTACAATTATTCTTCCCTAGTATCGTGTTATTACGGGCTGTGCGATTAATAGTAGTAGAAGAGTCAAGACGGCTTGCTTCTAATATTTTTTGTGCTAGCAATCGCGTGGTCTTGCTCACCTCACTCTGATTAATAGTACCTGTTAAAGGCGATAACGATGATTTTGTTGTCGTATTATTATTACTACCACGCTCACTTTCATTCAATGACAAGCTGCGAAGACGCTCGAGGTCCTTCAGATTAGCCAGCATTGAGCTCTGGGACAGTCTGCTGGATTGCGATAAATTTTTATTGTTATTACTATTAACATTAACCTTTTTATTGTTAATATTATTAATACTTTGCGCAGATACTATTTTACTCGTAACACTTTCACGTATTTCACTGATATTCCTCAATTTAGGAGCCGATATCTTGGCGTCCATCTTAACAGCAGACACTCCGCGTGATCCATCACTTTTTTTACAGCTATTATGATTAATTGCTGATGAATATTGCGTGCGCGTTGATGTTTTTGATGCATCATGTCGGCTTGAACGCAAAGGAGTTATTCGGACCAATTTAGGCGCGTCTCTCGGATCGTCTGTTTGCAGAAGCCCTCGGTACACCATTTTTGTCACTGTTGCCTTATAAACCTCTATAATTACAGCTGCAATCAAAAACACATAACATTCTTTAATGAACACATTGCACAATAAATCCATTTTAATTTAAATACTCGAAATATGAAAGCAAGCATGCATAGTGCCGAGAAATTCGATCAAGCTAGAGTGATAAGGGTTTTATATTAGCTTTCACCACTCTACTGATATACCAATTCAAAAGTATCTCTCTATATTATTATTATTATTATTATTATTATTATTATTATTATATACGTACACACATTTTTCACTGCTAGGTATATTGGCAAAGGTCGTAGGTTGTGATTATATGTATTACATTACATGCTTATATTATTACACATTACTGTTTAAATAACGTGGGCTGGTAGTGACTTTTCGCGTGGGTCGTCCAGATGCCAAAGATGTGTTACGACACTAGTTAAGATGTTCACTATTTATTATATCGGCTCTAATCATCCGCTATTAGTTTTATCACTCACATTAACAAATTTGTTATTTTAAACCCTGAATATAAAATAGTTATTTATTTATTGATAATCTAATACTTTGTTAGTTATATAAAATATTATATGTTTAAAAGTAAATATTAAATTATGATACTGAAAATAGTTAACGTAAGAACTTTTTATTCTTATCTGAAAAATATTATTATTATTTAAAAAATTGTATTTTTTTTATTAATTTAAGTCAAATATTTTTAACTGTCACTTTTATAAAACTTGGTAAAATTTTTTTTTTTAATTTTCACTTTATAAATCTTCAATTTAAAAAAAAAAAAAAAGTTTCTTAATTTCTAATAAATATTTTTTTTTATAAACTTCCAAATAAAAAACTCAAATTTTAAAACTCGATAAATAATCACTAAAATAAACAGACATAATTTTTTTATTTTTTTCAAACTAATAAATTAATTCAAAAAAATTTCAATGACAGTTTTTTTAAATTTCTTAATTCTTTTCATAATAATTAAAAAAAAAATCTTAAAAATTGTCAATTGTATTAATTTCAGTATCACAAAAATAAATAATAAAAAAAAAAAAACTTACCGATAAATGGTTCAAAGGATTAATAAATAAATGACACGTCCCACGTGTATATCATCCACTTGTCTCATCGCGACTAACGAGCCAAGGATAATGAGTCGAGTGTATATTAACACAATCTATGACGTTACTAATTGTAGTGTCGAGTGTTAAATAATCCTCGGAACAAGTAACAAGTAACAAGTATATAGCAAACAGCAAGCAGAAAGGAGTAAGGAGCAAGGAGTTGAGTTGAGATGAGATGAGATGAGTATATTGTAGATTAAGAGTTAAGGATTAAATGAAAATATAAAGGATGGAATAAGTTGTTGGTTTGGTAGCTTAAAGTCTACTGGATGATGATGATGATGATGATGTGGCCTACACTACACTAGCTTTACTTAGCTCGGGGAAAAGGAAACGCAATGGCGCGGTGCCAAGTTTTACTAGTGTAGTGTTGTGTGTTGTCTTGTGTGTGTGTGTGTGTGTGTGTGTAAGTTGTGTTGGTTATACACCTCTTCCTTTCCATCGGCATCTCTCTACTTCTACTCCTGGTGGTGCTGGTGGCTGGTGCCTGCTGCAAGCAGTTAGCAGTAAACCGTGTAATGTTCCTCTATGGGTATAGACAGGTTAGCTGTAGCTGTAAGTGCTGTAAGAAGTAAAGAGCGACTGAGCTGGAGAATTATTACCTGAAAGCGAAGGAGCGAGCCAGCTGGCGAACCACACCAAACGGTGGGGCACGATGCGCAACGCCTCGTTATTTGTCCCCCACTGGCCCCCAAGGTTTACTATCCCCGATCCCCGGTTATAGTATGATTTAACCGTTTGCACCGAGCAAGTACACATAATACGACAACCACACTACACTGAATCAGCTTATCTCTATCCTTTAACACATCAAGTTCACCTTAAATCATTTTTAATAATAATAAAGTTAGCCGACAATTAAAATTTTTTTATTTTGCTTAATTTATTAAATTATAACTAAAAAAATATTTTCAAAAAATTGCACTTATAGTTTTTCATATTTTTAACAAGTGAAATTTTTTTTTTAATTTTTGTAACCATTTTTTCAATAAAAAAAAATTCTAAAAATTTTTAAATGTCGGCTAACTTAATTTTCATCATTTTTATATCATACAATAAAACCAATATTTTTTATTTTTAAACCTTTTTTTTTTTTGTAATAAATTATCCAAGTTCTTATACATTAGTAACGATTCTTGGAATTTTTATAAATTGCTCGTAGTTTAAAGTAATGAATATTTGTTTACAGGTTTTCATTTGCTCCTGGTTAACAGTCGCTACTGTGCTCCACTGGAAATTACATTGACTCTGTAATTTTAACATTACGAGAGAACAAGATATTAAACTAATGAAATTATCAGAACCGCTTTTACCTGTACTTGTATTGCAAATTCATGGAAAAAATGTATATATACACACAGATATAGATTCATTTCTTGTTCGAGAAATAATTTTTTTCAGTCAAGTAAGTATTTAGCAAAACAATAATTGCTTTTGTTGAAGTATTATTTTATTGTTTAGAGTATTTCTTCTTTGTTAAAAATAATTTACATCTTTTTAAGAATTTTTTGTATGCGAAAAATTTGATAATAAAATTAAAGAGAAAAAATTTTTCACTAAAAAAGTTTTAAATAATTATATTTTGAATCAAGAAGAAATATTTTTGAATCAAGTAAAATTAACTTTAATTAAAAACAATTTTCTAGTTTGAGAATTTTTCTTATTGATTTAAAATTATCAAATTTTTAATTAAAAATTTTTTCAACTGAATTGTTAAATTTTTTTTTTTATATTGATTTTTTTTAATGAAATTATTTTAGCTGTAAAATTGAAATTTTTGTTGACTTTTTATATTATAAATATTATCTTCACATATAATACATATAATAAGCGACATATATAAAAAATAATTCATAAAAATGTTTTCGACGGAAGTACGCATGTAGAAATTTTTATTTTATGTATATTTTTACCGTGAAGAATTTTTCCCACTGCACTGTTACACTGTATTAGTTATAGGTTACATTATATATTAGTAATAATCGGTAACTGAACGGTGTAGTAGGTATTATGTATATACAGAACATAGATAGTGAAGAAAGAGACGGTTAAAAAGTCGTAGGTCGGAGAATAAGAATGTTTGAGCTAGTTTTTATCGCCGATACTATTATATACCTTTCTAATATTTATGTACAATAGGACAATAGTGTTACTCTAACAGACGGGAGGACACTTGACACTCCTTGTGTTGGTCAATTGTTTGTACAAATGGGGAATAAAGAATTCAAATATACCTACCAAAGGGTCATTCACCTTCTTAGAGCTGGGGATTTATATATGAATGGTGGAAGATTGTGGAAATTAGTTAATAGCCGATAGATTCCGACAATCTTATCATTGGAATTAATGATTAGTATAAATGGTACCCTAATAAAAAAAATTAACTTAATTTAACAAAATTTTTGAACCAAAAAAATCATTTTGAAAAGTTTCATAATCTTTAATCTAATTTTATTTCCAATTAATTTTTTGCTTATCATTAATTATTAATTGGGTATAAATTAATGAAAGAAGAAATAACTCTAATTACAATTTAAAAATTACTTCTGCACTAAAATTTGTAACCAATAAAATTCTTACGCATTTGAAACTGTAATGTTTACAATTTCGCATTCGATGTGCTGCGTTATTGCGTGAAACGGTAAATAGTTTGTTTTATTTTTTCCTTGTATATGTTTTTATCTAAAAAACTTCCTACGCACCAAAGAAATATGTTAAATTTCTAGAATAAACGGTTCAACTAGTTTTTAAAAAAAAATATAGATAAAATAGTCTTTATTTTATTTCAATTAAGTGTAACACACAATTTATGCATCAAAAAAATTTGATTACCTATTTTTCAAAAATTTAAAAAATTAAACCAAAAACGGTAAAATTTTTAAATAAAAATTGGCAACTCTGGAATTTTATTAAGCGATAAATTTATTACAAGTATATTTATATTGAGAAGTAGACGAGTGGGAAGTTAAGAATAAGTTTTATATTAACTTGTTTAGACGGTGTTCAAACGGCACACCCCCAAGGCCGTTTACTCTTGTAAAAGAGTTGCAGCTTTAAAACCTCAGTATGTTAATATATACAAACATTCTCGGGATCAAAACGTTACCATTTATGGCGGTGCGTTGATTAGCTATGTAACATTATTACACACGATCTATTGTGCGGTTGCATGTAAATTCATTGAGCGCCTCAATAAATTCTTGAGTTTTCCACTGGTGTCTTCATAAACTGTAGGTGCTATGCACGGTATTGAGTAAAACTTTGACTGTAACCCACGTTTCAGATTTTTTATTTTATTTTATTTTATTCTTCAGGGATAGGATGAAGGATGATACGCATCAGAATTTCGGCGCTAAAGGGTTCACTGACCATGAGATTTGCTATTATTGTGGTACTCAATCTAGCGAGTCGGGTGAATTATACTCGAGTGTGAGTAGATATAGATATAGTAATAATACATATACGACATTGTCAGGCAGTTTTGGTCGCAGGCTTGAAAGGAAGCATGCGAGTAGAATTTTTAATAAGTCTGTGCGGGGTTTTAAGCTTGATGGTGACGTTTCCGTTGCATGGATGTGTTATGGCAAAAAACGGAAGCGGAACGCGTGCTTAACCATATCCGGGATCATGAACAATCTGTACCTTTTATTGTTACCTTATACACTTATCTTACAATTAGTCTCGTAATTTACTTTCCGGACAATAATACGCTGGTCACTAGTTTTTTTAATTTTTTGGTTCAACTCTTTGATATTTATGATTTATAAATTTTTAATATTTTCCTACTCAATAGCCCTTGCAAAAAAAAATTATGTTATTTTACGACCCATATATACATCACTTTGAATTAATATTAAGTATATTTAAAAATATGTTTAACCCTTGATCGGTATTTGAACCGCATATGAGATTTTTATGTTAATAACTTTTGGATCACTCGTTTTATAGCTCTGCGCCTATCGTTAAATCTTTAACCAAAGGGTCTTTGTCCCTGAATTACGTTAAATTAATTCAGTGCGTAAACCAGCGGCGGCGAAAGTTATTTATGTGCTTAGAAGATCCAGCTGCTCGTATTGGGTGAGTTAGTATTTTCAGATGCTTGTATATTTTAATTATCAGTCACTTTTGGTTTTATTATGATTCTATTGAAGCCTTTATTCTTTCTCTAAAAATATTCAACTATATAAGTTTGAAAAATAAGTAAAAGTATTTTAAATTTTATAAAACTACTTTATTGTTTAATTAATTCACAGAACATGGTAACTACAAACCGTGAAAAAAAGGACTATCGGAAAATTTTCAACGAATTTTATGCAATCAGGAAGTTTCTGAAATTTTATAAAATCTGAAATTTTTAATATGATAAAATTTTACTTTTGACACCTTGAAATTTTTTAATAAAAATTAAGACCTAATTTATTTTAATTATAACGCTTGATAAATATTTTTAATTTGAAATTTAAAGACAAATAATTAATTTTTTTAATTTTTCAAGACAAAGAAGAGTAAAAATTTTTTCCTGTTTCCTTGGACGAAAATTTTTTTCTCTAAAAAAAAGAATTTTTTAATCTCAAATTAATAATAATGTTAAAATTTTAACGTTAAATTTACAGTTGTTAAAGCCGTGATTAGACAGTAATAAAATTTTCAATATTTTAACGATAAGAGCCCAACAAATTATATAACAATTATTTTGCAGTAAATATTATTAAGATGAATATTGTTTACAATATCTCCGTAATATAAATCCTCTTTTGAGATTGTAACTTTCAAATTTATGTGGCAAATATTATTGTTTACGATCAGAATAATTGTCTTGTGGCACTAAAAGTATCCCTACCACTGTTCATTTTCATTATTTTATTCTTTATGATTTATTATTTATCTCTTACACGTCGAAATTCCTCAACGAAAAATGACTGGGATGAATGATTTGTTATGTTTATTAAGAAGTTTATAGGATAACATATCTTTGCCCAGGTTAAAATCATCATAAGTCACTGTTACTTTTACAGGCACGAACACTACTACTATTACTAGTGATAGAATGATTATCTAGCTAGGATTACAATTACTGCGGACTGATGTCAATAATTATTCAAATTTTGATGGTAGCTTCTAGGCAGTAAGTAATAGTTATAATTTTATAATCAACAATTGTCAATCATTTTAGTTAATGTTTCAATTATTATTTTTTCAAACCATACATTAACTACTCAATATTTCCGATGACAATATAATCATTGTTATTAAATTTTCAATTTATTATACTGAAATTAATATTTTTATTTTTTATTACAGACCTCGGATAGTGCCTATTTTCTCTGACATTTAGTTAAAAATGTATGGTGAATATTTAAAAATATTAACTATAATAACTTTATTATCGATTGAAGAATTTAACATTGAATTTACAACAAAAAAAAAAAGGGAATTGCGTAAAAATTCTTTCACACTTATCTTGTATTTTTATTTATATTGAAAAAAAAAAATAAACTAACTTTTTTAAAGAGAAAAATTATTTTGAAGAGTTTGACCATCTTGGTCAAGCAAAAAAGTTCTTGAGCTTAAAAAATTGTTCTTATAATTCAAGTAAATTTTACTTCATTCAAAAATTTTATTTTTTCTTCATTTAATTCAAGACAATCAAACTCTTTAATTAGAAAAAAAAAAAATTAATATAATTATTTAGATTTTCTTTTTTTAATGTTTAATTCAATGATTAATTTTTCTGTACAATTCATACTTAGTTACTGATGATTAAAAAAAATATGAAGAATTAAACACTTTCTTAATTAAAAAATTCAATTAAAAAAATTTTACATTGATTATAAATTTAACTTAAAAAAATATTTCCTCATGATGAGAAAATCGGCAATTACTGTTCTAACATTTTATGCAGATAACATAATGTATAATAAATAATGACTTTCATTTAAAACACTATTATTTTTAATGTATTGAATTAATATACAATGAATACATTAGATTATCTATTTTTTCATATATTTTATCAAAAATACTCATCAAAGTTTCAATTTTTTGTGAAATCAATTTCCTATATATTTTTTTATCCTTCACAATTTTATCAATTTGTCAGTCGTAAATTGAAAATTTGCATAGAACATTGAGGCTGCTACTTCCGACCTACGACCTACACTCGAGTAAGAATTTTCTCTTAATGTTACTTAAAATAACAATAATAACTTGGTTTTTTTTTTCTATTTATTATACTTCATTTCTTCTTTTCCATATAATAACAACACATTTTATTATAAAATGTAATTATAATATTTACACATCGTAGTTTATATAATTGTTTACGGATAATAATTTTTTAGAGGAAATAAAAATTTATCATTATCATTATTGACCTTAGTAGTACCATTGATAAAATTGTTATGTCCTTTTACCTTGAAAGAGAAAGAATGTTGAAAGTGTTGAACATTAATCGGCGTTACACTACCAGATCGCATTGTCGCCGTGTAACGAGCGTAAAAAAAAATAACTTTTTCAATAACAAGTAAAATGATTGCAAAAGTTATTCCACCTGTAAAAACAACAAGTATAGGCGCAACACCTCGTATCGTTACTGCGGTATACGTGTTAATTTTAGTCTCCTTCTTGTTGAAATGTTTCTGAATGAATTTGTTCAGTATTCCTCTATCTCGGAATTTATGAATTCTAAAACGATAATTATTTTGTCATTAAATATAATGCATTTATAAATGAACATATATTTCATTTTAAGTATTAGTATAAATATAGTTAACTGATGATTAAATATTCCGGTGTAAGGACTTTTATGAGGTAGTACCATGGCAAGACTATCGTATCTTCCTGTTTCAATGTACGTTATATCACATGGAAAAGTATTATTCATTGACATTCTCATAGCATCACTTGCATAGAATGCTGCCTTTTCTATACATACCTATGTTATAAATAAATATCATTAAAAGCAGTTTTTATAAATAAATTTACGGGAAAAAGACTTGTTTTCAAAAAGTAATAACAATTATTCATAAAAAAACATTTTTTTTTAAGTTATTATTTCTTCATTGCTGAAAAAATAATAAATAACTTTAATTTATATAAAATTACTCCAGTAATAACTTCATAAATATTTTCTTCTTTCAAAAAAAATTTATCTTCATTTTTATAACTTGAAATTTTTTTAAAACAAACAATAATATAAAAGAAAAATGAAACCTGATAAAATCCTTCATAAACAGATGGTGGTAACAGTGGCTCAGCTTTCATTAATTTTTTCAATTCCACCCATATCGGATCTTTTGAATACTAAATTAAAAATAGAAAAAAAAAAACATAAATCTATATAATTAAGAGAATAAAGAAAAATTTATCTCCGGCGCGTTTAGATGATAAAAAAAGTTTTTAAATTAAATTTAATATCATTGAAAAGGTCTTGACCTGAATTTATATCTTTTCAATGTTTCATATGATTTTCAGCAATAGCTAATTTATTATGATAGGTTTTCAAAGTAGTTTTGAATAGATCCAAACTTCGCGATAAATGTCATTTGTTTGTTAATTTATTTATTTATTTTGTTTAGTGCATGTGAATGTGGTTATATGCCAAAATTAATTTATAAACTGAAAAAATAAATTAACTTGAATCAAGATAATAATTCTTGAACTTTTAAAATAATTTTGTCGAGTTTCATTTATGTTGAATCAAGGTGAAAAATCCTTGAATTAAATAAAATTTACTTAAACTAAGAAAAATTTCGTAGTTTAAAAATTTTTCTACTAAAATTAAGAAGATGAAATTCTTTAAAATTATTTACTTGATTCAAGTAAATTTTTTTCTTTCTGTGATGTATAATTAAGAGACTAAGGACCAGTTTTTCAATCCGGGATAAAATTTTATTCAATGCTAAAATATATCTATATATTTTAGATACATAGATATAGATAGATATATTATTTATTTGACCGTGAGATCATAATCCCTTGTGATCATACATTAGAACAAGTGCATTAGATATATTGACAATAATAATTATATCTTGGATGAAATTTTATCCTGGATTGAAAAACTGGCCTAAGAAAATTTTCGTAACGGTTATATTTTTATCGTAAATCGGTTTTTATATTTTTTCAGCAATAGTGATTAATAATTTAAATAATTGAGAGAGTAAGGATAATTTTGTGACGAGCATATTACAGTAGAACCTTGTTAAGTCGAAAACCTCCTTAACTCGAAGAAATGTTTCATCCCCTTCCCTCCAAGCCCCAAAACCTCCGTTGCTCGAAATTTTTAACCTCTATAAGTTGAAATGATTAGTGAGTCCCTACAAGTTATTTATGTAGATATTTTCCCTCCATAACTCGAAAAATGATTTTCTTGAGTCAAGAGAATCATCAATAAATTCTTATGATAAGAAAAATTTACTTACATCAAGATTAATTTCTTGACTCAGTTCAAGATTTAGGCTTTTGAATCAAGTTAATTTTTTTATCATTGCACCATTGTTTCTTAGGAGTAGATAATGAATATAATTACCCAAATTTATGATTCACGTTTATACGAATTTAAATTTTAAAACTTGAATTTTTATTTATTTTACCCCTCTACCTCAAAATTTATAAAAATGAATCTCAACCTCTTTATGTCGAATCAAAATCCGCCTAAGTCGAAATTCTCTATAACTCGAATTTTTTTGCCTCTCCCTTGGAGTTCGAGTTATAGAGTTTCTACTGTATTATAGAGGTTCTACTGAGGTTCTACTGTATTATTTTGAAATGAATTTTTATAGTTAAATTTTTGGCATCATCAGAAAGGTTTTGACAAGAATATATATGCCTTTTCACGATTCTATATATTTTTCAGTATTTGTCCATTAAATTATTTGTTATTGATCCTGTCATAGCACAATTATTTTTAAAATTTATTTAAAAAGTACCCAAACTATGTATAGTGTGATTAAAAAATATCAAAAAATTACTAAGCTAAAATTTTCTTATTCATAATTCATAAATCTCGGCAGTCGCATAGTGACTGCGGGTTGCTAATAATTATTAATTGATAAAATAGCTAAAATATAATATGAATAAATAATCATATTTTTAACTTACAGTAATTAAATCGTAATCAGCGCTATCTTTGAGAACAAGAAACTTATAAGTTCCGTCCTCTACAAATTCGTCCAAAGAAGAAAAAGGCAGTTTATCTTCAGACACCGCTAGAAAGCTTATAAGTGCGGCTGAATATGCAGCTGATAGTATAAACGCTGATACAAGCATCGCAAAATACACTATCCTCAGTGATGTTCTCGCCGGAAATTCTGTAAATACAATCGAATAACTCAGACACACAATAGACAGTCAACATGATAAAAAAGTATTTGTGACTGTAATCTTCAATCTATAAAGATATTTTTTATTTTTACCAGACAATCCTTGTTGACAAAAGATACCCCAAACATTGAGATAATTCTCGGTAATGATATGAGAAATCATTTTTTTACTTTGGTGTATTTTGATCAAAGTTATTAGAGCGGGAATCAGGACAATCATCGAAATCATTATCATCCAAATATCACTGCTAAATGCCTTGAAAGTATTTCAATTAGATAAAAGGCAAGTTAATGCAGACATGATTGATATATTAAAATAAAAAAATAATAATTATACGGTATAAGGCATACTCCAATGACGGACAATTAAAACGCATCAAAAAACAAATTAGATGACTGTCGATAATGACTTATTTTAAAAAAGACCACTCGAGAAAGAAAAAACTCTACTATGAAAGATCATGATTAAAAATATCATGAGAGTATGCTCTCATTTGTAGAGTAGAGACCTTCTAATGTAAGGACCCCACTTAATTTAGAATAAATTAATATGGTAATAATAATAATAATAATATAAACCTCAAAATAAGCAGACCACTGTAAGGTGCTATTTGGTTCTCTGAAGTATAAACGACAGGGTGATAAAATCAATGGTAATGTAAAGTCTAATATTTCACGTCTTTCAACTGTCATTGTTACTTCACCAACACCCATATCAACATCACGACGCCAAACACTTCCCACCATACCTGTCCATGTTTTTTCATCTTCATTATAGATCCCAAAAATACTTTCACTCTTCATCAACGGCGTGATGTTTAATGTCTTTGTCAATTCGCTGAGTATATCACCCATAAATGCACTCATTTTTCCATTTTTGTACTTGAAAAATACTGAATTCTGAAAAATAATATTATTAATTATTAAGGTGACACAAAAAATGACTATTATTTCTCGGGTCTTCTATGAAAATATTTTATATTTTTTTTTTAATATTTTAAAAGCTATATCAAAAAAATTTTTTTATAAATCACTCAAGATTCTTGCAAATTTTTAAACTTATAAAATATTGGATTAAAAAAGTTTTTTTTTATTGTAATATTGTTAATCCTAAAAATTACATTCTTTCACTTTCAAGTTGATTTTTAAAAATTGTTTAAGATTTTTTTAATTTACAAGTTTTTTTTGATTTAAGAAAAAATTTGAAGGTCACTTTTCAAATTGTATCTAATTATTGGCTTAAAAAAAAAAAAAAAAACAATGAAGTAAATTGATTTGTTATCCAATATCAGAAATATATTTGTTAATTACGATGTAATAGTTGAATTTCTGACTTTTATTTGTGTCTCGTACTTCGTTCATATTCATATTCACAAGTGGCTAAAAAAATATTTTAAGTAAACTGCTTTAAAAATTTTTTAAATGTTGAGCAACGTTTGAAGAATCAAAATATCGACTTGAAAATTTTCAGAGTGCATAATTTTAAACCTTGAAAATTACGAAGAAAAAATTAAAAAACAAAATAATCCAATTTTAAATGGTATTGAAAATTTTTTAGAATCTTGAGCGACCTTGAAAAAAAATTTTTTTCCATCATATCTGCACCGAAAGTTTAAACTTTCTGCTCTGTTTTGCGAAAAGAAAGTGCGACTTTTACCTTATGGAATAACATTATTCAAAGAAATGAACAGTTTGACAATTGCACTAACTTTCTCATAAAAACAGAAGCACAAAGTTTAAATTTAGCGAGAAAAGTAGGATATACTAATCGGCGTGTTTCCCTCGCCTTCGCGGCTGCCCAATTTCAAAACACAGTAACTAAAATTTTAAAATTTTTTCAAATTTTTCTTATTAAAAAAAAGTTTACCCGTCAAATTGATGAAAAATTTGATTTATGAATAAAAAATACTTGAATATAAATATTTTTAAGAAAAAATACTTGAAATTAAGGTCTAAAAGTTATAAAAAATGCAGCAATACTAAAAAAAAATCAGGTATAAAAATTTTGCAGTTACTGTGTTTTAAAATTGGGCAGCCGTTCAGCTCGGAAGACAATTTAGACAATTTTACACGTGGGTTGGAATGCCCTACTTTTCTCCCTCGGAGCGTAATATACTATTGAGCTGATGTTCGCAGAGGGGTGTTAAAACACGATAAACTATATAACATATTTTCATAGACCTTATTATTTATTATAAAATTTATTTAGACAAAATTTAATAATTGATGTAATTACCGTAACATATGCAATTCGAAGGGGCGCATTAACAGCACTACGGATCGCAAACAGCGAGTTTCTATCGACGCCCTGTACTCCTGTTTCATATGACCAATTACCAAAGTAACTTTTTTGAAAATTATTTCCGTCAATCGACCACCATTCGTGAAGATAATTTGGATCGCAGCAACACCACACGATCATCTCTGTTCGGAAGCTCAATGATAGTTCATTGACGCTCGTGTTGAGACAGTAATCACACATTGAATTATTTTTCGATGACCCAGTAAATATAATCAGCCAGACTGGGTAATTCATATCTATTGTTTTTGACAGTGTTTCGAGTATTATTAAATCCTGTTCTTCATTGATGACAAATACTAACAGCGGACGTGATATTTTTGATTCATAATATTCAATTTCGGTTGTTAATTCATTGTAGTTTATTACTGCTGATAGTATCCCGTCGTTTGATATGTTTTTTATCATATTACTGACAAATGTTGACAATTCATCTGCTGTGTATTTTATTGATTCAAATGAATATTAATGAAACTAACAGATAATAAATTTTTTATAATAAATCTCAGGATTTATAAAATGACATTTTTTAATCAATTAAAAAGTTGACAAAATTTTTATTTTTCTTTCAATTTTTAATATTTAAATAAAGACTAATTTAATAAATTTAAGTTTTAAAAAAATCAAAGAAAATTAATATAAATATTGAGCATGTTTAATTTTTAAAATGACTAAATTTTTTATGTCAAGTTACATCACGGCTGCCCAATTTCAAAACACAGTAACTAACATTTAAAAATTATTTTCAATTTTTCTTATTAAAAAAAAATTTACCCGCCAAATTGATGAAAAATTTGATTTTTGAATAGAAAATACTTGAATATAAATATTTTTAAGAAAAAATACTTGAAATTAAGGTCTAAAAGTTATAAAAAATGCAGCAATACTAGAAAAAATCAGGTATAAAAATTTTGCAGTTACTGTGTTTTAAAATTGGGCAGCTGATCATTTAAAATGCAAAAAAATTTTGTTTTTCTTTCAATTATTATTAAATTGAAATTTTTACTTTGATTTTCTTTAATTCTCTTTAAAACAAATAATATTAATTGATCAAAAGTTAACATAAAAATAAACCAAATAATCTTTTAAAAAACCCGATCCGAATATTTTTTACCTAACAAAATTTTAAACTATTAAATCTCTATTTACGAGACAATAAATTCTTTAACAGCCGTTAAAAATTTCCTACCAATATCAGTGAAAAAAAAAAAATCCAAAATCGCTATTTTACGACCCATAAACCAATAAAAATGTTTTATCTATAATTAACGTTATTATTTCCATAGAATATAACATCAAATAAAATTTGATATCCCACACTGATAGAAGGATTTGTTTGTATTTAATAAATCAATTTATTAAAATCTTTTTCAGATATTTTTTTGGGTGGAAAAAATATTTTTTTACTATTAACAATATTCGTTAGTATTAACTAAATCAATTTTTTATGAGAACAAAATTTTTGTAACTATTAAGAAGCTTTTGTGTATTGAAAAAAGTATTTATTTCCACCAAATAAGATTTGTTAATAGTTAACAAATATTTTGTTGGTGGTCGGTGTTGGTAGATGGCTCTACTTAACGCGTAGTTGTAAATAAGTATATATATATATATAGTTGTAAATAAGTATATATATATATATAGTTGTAAATAAGTATATATATATATATAGTTGTAAATAAGTATATATATATATATAGTTGTAAATAAGTATATATATATATATAGTTGTAAATAAGTATATATATATATATAGTTGTAAATAAGTATATATATATATATAGTTGTAAATAAGTATATATATATATATAGTTGTAAATAAGTATATATATATATATAGTTGTAAATAAGTATATATATATATATAGTTGTAAATAAGTATATATATATATATAGTTGTAAATAAGTATATATATATATATAGTTGTAAATAAGTATATATATATATATAGTTGTAAATAAGTATATATATATATATAGTTGTAAATAAGTATATATATATATATAGTTGTAAATAAGTATATATATATATATAGTTGTAAATAAGTATATATATATATATATATAATTGTAATTTATCTTTTTATTATTTGTATTCTTTTAATTTCTAATTTTCTTTTACTTCATTTAATATCTAATTCTCTGTAAATTTTTATAATTAAAATAAAACATTGAAACACCTTTTTGAGGAATTTTTTAAATATTCATAATCCAGTGTGTATTAAATACTAATAAATGATTTATTAAATATTAATAAATCATTTTTTATATGTTAATAAATCGTTTATTAAATAGTAATAAATATTTGGTTAACACAAAAAAATAGCTGCTAATAATTGATTTATTAACTGTTATTAACTCTTATTTAAAATCCTTCTATCAGTGTGCAATTACATTAAAAAATCCGCCGAACTATCTTTGCCTATATAATAACCATTAACAACAGCAACAACTCATTATAAATTAATTATAAATATTAACAAATCTAAGCGCAATCTTCTAAGCTAAAATTATTTGAATATTAAAAAACAATACTTACATAAATAATTTTTCGATGACGTAAACAAAATACCGGATGTTTGATACTCGTTATTAAGGCTTAATACAAGTGGTCGGTAATCCAGCGAGCAGGATTGCGATTGTGATGAGCTTGACAAAATTACCTTCATAATTACGACAATAATTATTTCCCGGTACTCCGGGCATAAAAAAATCATTATTTAGCCGTTCGAGCCTTAGTAATATTCAAAATAAACTTTTTTAATTTAGTATACTGTACAAATAATTCCGTACAAAATAATGAATAATAAAAATCGAAGCTTTTATCCAGGACGAAACTTTACCTGAGATAAATTTATATTCACACCTCGTTACATAGTTCGCGCATGTTTTAACGGTTTGCATGCTTCTATTACATTTATTGCGATAAATTAATAATGAGGTTGACAAGCGATGGTTACTGATAAAAACATTCTCTAGGTCAAACATTTTACAAAGTAAAATAAAAGCCTTACACGCTATTATTGAAGATAAATCAATTACATGTGTATTACTGTTTATCTGGTAAATAAAAATAAAAGTTTGCGTTAATTTAACGTTAGCACAAAATGACGTGAGACATTTCTCAACACATCGATAATTCATAAATAAAATAGAAAGACATAAAGTCTATCGTTAATTTATAAACATCCTGTCAGCCCTGTTTCCATCGTTAACGTTAACGCCTAATGCAGTAACGCTCCAATTATCTCACAGATAATATAATAATAATAATAATAATAATAATGATAGAATATAGCACTTGAAACGTAACAAGATTTTCTTAATATTATTTAGCTTCCCACCGGCAATAATTGTTTGCCGTTTTGACTTATAATTATTTCAGTCTCACCATTTTAAATTATTATTTTCTTTTTATTATTCTTTGACTTTTATTCACATTGTTATCTCGTTAGTAATTAGTTTTTTAACAGTAAATGTAAATAATAAATATTTGCGCTAGTACGTTAGCCTTAATTACGTGAATTCTGTTTAATCTTATGAATAAAAGTATTAGTCGGATTATCTAATAAATAAAAGTCTAATGTTTATTGATACAATAGAAGTAACACGTGTTATATAAAAATTTTCATCCTTAAACCTTTTCCGTATTCTCTTCTATACAATTGATACAATTTTTTTTATTTTTTTTATGAATAAATTTTGGCATCAGTCTACCTGAGATTTTTATTTTTAATTTAAGTTTTGTTTTGGGAAATTACACTGGATAGAAGGATTTATTTGTATTTAATAAATCTGATATTCATTTATTAAATATTGATAAATTTTTTTAAATACTAAGAAATATTTGTTAAGAACTAAAAAGTGGTCTCTAATAAATGATTTATTAAATATTAATTAATTATTAAAAGCTCAGAAAAAAAATTTTTAATGTGCACAGAATCCCTAATGTTTAGAATTCATACATTGAATTAAAGTTATAGCTAAGTAATCAGAGATACAACAAAATTGATAAGGATCACAATACTAAAAAATTTAATTTTCTGTAAAAAATTTATCGTACAATTTTTTTATATCTTCAATATTTTACTCTAAATTTTGATGGGAAACTTTATGACAGTTCAATTGAGGTTTTTAAAATTATTATTGAATAGTGCTGCCATATCACCTGGAGGTAACCTAGTAACACACACAATTATCTATTACATATATTTATTGTTAATAATAAAATTAAACTTTGATTAAAACAAAAAATATTTCTACATATATTTTACTATATAAATGTTGTATAATAATAATAATACTTGAATAAAATATTATTACCCCAATTATTTACAAAAAAAAAAATTTACTGTGAACTGAGAAAAAAAAAATACTTTTATTAAGAAAATTTTCTTGAAAATTTTCAAGAATGTATATTCTTAGCTCAAGAACTTGTTAAATTGATTGAAATAATTTTTACTTAATTTAAATAAAGCTCGGCTGCCCAATTTCAAAACACAGTAACTAACATTTAGAAATTTTAAAAAATTTTTCTTATTAAAAAAAAGTTTGCCAGCTAAATTGATGAAAAATGTGATTTATTTTATTTTATTGAAAAAAACAAACCTAACAGCTTGCGCCATTAACAGGGTTAATAGAATTATACATAAAGTAAATATAAATTTATATATTTACAAAGCTTAACAAGATGTCCTATAACTAGTATAATATTTAATATCGAGAATAATATTTTAATAAAAAATTTAATATTCAATGATATTTATGCGTAATTTTAACGTTAAATATTTATGAATAAAAAATACTTGAATATTAATGTTTTTAAGAAAAAATACTTGAAATTAAGGTCTAAAAGTTATAAAAAATGCAGCAATATTAAAAAAAAATTAGGTACAAAAATTTTGCAGTTACTGCAGTAAAACACATGTGTTTTAAAATTGGGCAGCCGCAGCTATTCTCTTGTTTATCTATTATCCAAAGATAAATATTGATGATCTTCTCTTCAGAAATTACTAATTAATAATAATAGAATATTTGATCGTCATCGAATTTCTTTAACTAAGAAATTATTAATTGAGTAAAAGTATTTTTTTTCTCATTTTTTTGTTTGTATTAAAATCGTAAAAAAATCGTTTTCTTATGAAGACCTGAGAAAGCTTATATGTGATGAGAGCAAGTCAACCAAGAATGAAATTACTGCGGGAATCCTGAAAGTCCAAGAAAGTGTAGATGCGTTAAGTCAGTCTGTCAATGAAAGAATTAATATAATAGAAGAAGGGCAACATAAGCTAGGCAAAAAGGTTGTAACACTTGAAGGAAACATCAAGGCTAACACGGAAAAGATTAAGGCCCTGGAAGAACATCCACCAGGTGATGAATCTATCCTTGATGAAGTTGAAGATAGATTAGCTAGACGCAACAATGTGCTGCTCTTTAATCTTCCTGAACCCATACAGTCCGATTTAGAGGCCAGATCGGAAGCAGACGCATCTCTAATTACAAAAATCTGTAACACACTTGGCATTGATTCATCTTCCTCATCGCTGACGTCACAATATAGAGTCGGTAAATACTCTCCAGTTCTTGGAAAGCCAAGACCACTAAAAATAATATTCACTAATGCGAATTATCCTGGTAAATTTATCCAGAACTTCATACAAAAGAAGAAGACCAACCAACTTCCCCCAGATCTGGGCCTGAACGACGTAGTGATGACATACGATCGTACTCAACGTCAACGCCTGCAGCACAAAGAGTACCCGGGAGGAGTATCAGCGTCGAGTCACGGACGGAGAAGCCAATCTACGACTAGTGACAAGGCATGGCAGGACAGCAATTATCAACATACCACCATCTCGTCAAAATCGAACGCAGAGCGCCGCTCAATCTTAAATACTACATTTACTATAAGCAGAGCTACATTTACTACCAGAACGTTAGAGGACTTAAATCAAAGCTACGTAATGTATTATATAACATTTCAATTATTGATTATGATATCTATATTTTCACCGAAACTTGGCTCAATAGTAATATTTATTCATCTAAATTATTTGACGTAATACTATCGCTTAACTATAAAATTTAATATCTGATCTAGTCAATCCTGGTCCTGGTTAACAGAAATCTTAGATTTAAGGAAAAGGTAATGTAGCTCTGCATATGTAGTCGTAATTCATCATTATATTATATTTTTTCTTTTTTTTTTTTTTTTTTTCTTATTACTATAGCTACTAAGTCATCTGATGATTATAAAAATCACTCTAATTTTAAAAATTAAAAATTTTTAGTTTATATAGAGCCAAATATTAATTTAAGTATGTATTAAACACTGTCAAAATCTTCAACTTGTAAAATTAAGTAGCCCTGTTATTGGCCCTTTAGACTGTTGGGCTTATGTAATGGAAAATAAAATAAAATAAAAATTAAAAGCAACAACAGAAAAAAATCGTTGGACAATTGCACTTTTGAATTAAATTTTTAACAAAATAATCAAAAATTAAAAAATATTTTTAACACTATAATGATGAATTGAATTATGATGCGTATAAATTATATTTTTAAAATTATTAAAATGAAAACAAGACAACCAATTCATGTTAAATATAAAATAAAAATATATTATTCTTAAAATATAAGAAGACGTTTTATAGAATTTAATTATCATCAAACTACTTGCATAAATTTCAGCCTTGCTTGTTTTTGTAACTCTAAAATTAACATTCTCTTAACAATATAACAATGGCTTTTAAATGTCAATACGATAACTTAAAAAAAAAAAAAAAAAAAATGAAATCCATGTTCGGCGATGGGGGTACGTATGTTGATATATTACTCATACCCTGACGATAGAGTTTATCATTAAACGCATCGTCATTGTTGAGAATAATCGAGAAAATTCAACAAGTTTCTCGAGACTTTCTATTTCATCCGCCTGATATAACGTCTTAAACACCCAATTTTCTTAATAAATATTTATTTACAATTTATTGCACTCTGATAATTAACTCTACTAAGTGATTACAATCATCTATTTTTTCTTCATTACAAGCTATATAATGTTCGAAGCATCTTAACGGAAAATTAAATACTTTTATTTACGTTTATAGATAAAAGAAATTAAATTAAATTCTATGACGCAATGTTAGTTAATAGACATAATAACGAGTGTACTCTCTAGAACCAACTCGAGCATGTCAACTACTTTTTCTCTATTTGTATCGCTCATAATCATCAACTCTCATGTTGGTCATGATTCACCACGATCGGCGTAATAATAAAAAAAAAACAACAAAGTAACTGTAGAACATCATCGTACATTTAATTGGCTGATCGTGACATCACACTGTGAAAGTCGTGGACGATTGGTAGTGGTACACGTGATAAATCCTTCAAATTTCAGCGTTTCATTCAAACATGGCGGTCATTTTCCTCAAACATCTCAATATTTCATCATCTTTTTTAATCCAATTTTTTTTCTTAAAAAATATCATTCAATAATTAAAAATTCATAAATTTAACAAATTTTAAGCATTAAATAATTTTATGACATTAAAGTTAGCAGTCACTTGATAATTTTTTTATTTTATTTAATAAACAAATTTTTTCTGAAAAATTATTTTTAAAAAATTGCATTCTTAATTTTTTAAAATTTCTACATGTCAATTTTTTTTTCTCTTTTTTTTTTGCCATAATTTATTTGTTAAAAAAATTCTTTTTAATTATTCAATATCTGCTAAATTAATTATCATAATAATTTTTACATATTAAATGTATATTGTTAAATTAAATTAATTAAATAAAAAACACTGCAGGTTTTTTTGACATTAAAGTTAGCAGTCACTTCACAATTTTTTATGATACTAAAGTTAGCCGACGTTTTTAATTATTTTATTTTTTTTTAATAATTAAATTAAAACATAAAAATATTTTTAAAAAATTTCACTTACAGTTTTTTAAGTTTTTTACAAGTGACATTTTTTTAAAAATTTTTTTGTAATAAATTTTTTAATAAAAAAAAATTCTAAAAATTTTCAAATGTCGGCTAACTTAATTTTTATAATTTTTTAATTTTATTTAACAAAAAAATTTGTTCCAAAAAATTATTTTTAAAAAATTGCATTTTTAATTTTTTAAAATTTCTACATGTCAATTTTTTTGCCATAATTTATTTGTTATAAAATTTTTAAATTTCATGTTTTTTTTTTTTTTTTCATTTATTTAGGAGCATTTTTTAATTTTTAAAAAATATTTTCTTTATTTGTGTTAAGTGTAATTAAATAAAAAAATTTTTCAGAGTTAGTTATTATTAATTTAAAATAATAATTTTTTAACAATTACAACCTGGATTTAATAATTAATAATTAAAAACATGATATAAATAAAAATCGATTGAATTTCTATGCGCATATTCTTTACAGCCAAAAAGATGGCGCTTTATCTTAAACAAAAAATTAACATATTAAATTAAACAAACTCCTTTAATGACTAATAAATTTCTCCGAAAAATAATTTCATTAACACGTTATCAATAAGTAAACTGCGAATTGTGAACTGTCATTTACGATGACGACTGCACTGAAGATAATTAAAAAATAACCGGTCTCAAATGTTTACAAAGATGGCGCCGTTCATAAATACACAAGTCAGCGTCAAATATTGTTGTTATTCTGCCCCTTCTCTATCGATCTTACTTTGTGTATAAAAACAGCTGATGTCTATTCACGGCTATCAGTTCACAGTTAACTATTTAGACGTCCATTACTCTACTGCGTAATTGTTATTCAACACTCACCTATTTACTAATATTGCGATAAATCAGCAATTGATTTTGACATTTTGAAAGATTGCATCAAAATAATGGCAACTGTCAGCTTCAAAGTTTATCTGCATCATGAAGCAGATGCTTCATATCAAGAAATACGGCGCTTTGGTATTGATTCTGACGTAGTGACAAATTACATTTATTTGCGTGAAAAATTACAAAATATATTTCCCAACATTCGTGGTAAACGTTTCGAAATATTCTGGAAAGGTAATTACACTTATTCTATTTTAAATTAAGATTTTTTTTTGATGATGATAAATTTAGCAGATATTTAATAATTTTTAGAATTTTTTTTAACAAATAAATTATGGCAAAAAAAAAAATGTTAAAAAAATTGACATTTAGAAATTTTAAAAAATAAAAAATACAATTTTTTAAAAATAATTTTTTGGAGCAAATTTTTTTGTTAAAAAAAATTAAAAAATTCTCTAGTGACTGCTAACTTTAATGTCATTTTTTTTTATACTTGTATTAGCTGACATTTAATTATTTTTAGAACTTCATTAGTAAATGTTTTTTAATTATTATAAACAAATTTTTTTTCAACTTTTTTTTTTTTTAATAGTAATTTTTTTAATAAAATAAAAAATTGAACAAGTGTCATTTTTTAAATATATTTATTTTAACAGTGAAGATAATTTTTTTTTTTATGAATCATACTTAAGTTAACAATAATGAATTTTAATTATAAAAAAAAATTATGAAAATTAAGTTAGCCAACATCTAAAAAATTTTATGATTTTTTTTTATTAAAGAATTATTAAAATTATTTTAGAATTTTATAATAATTAAATTATTATAAAAAAAATTAATTAAAAAATACCACTTGTGAAAATTAATGACTCTAAAGTTAAAAGACGTGTAAAAATTTTTGATTTTTTTTATTAATTAAATTACAACTAAAAAGATATTTCTAAAAAATTGCACTTATAGTTTTTCAAGTTTTTAACAAGTGATATATTTTTTTTAATTGTTTAATTGAAATTTTTTCAATAAAAAATTTCTAAAAATTTTGAAATGTCTAATTTCATTTTCATGAAAATTAATAAAAATTACAAGAAAAAATTTTTAAAAGTATTTTTTTATTGTAATTGATTTGTTAATGAAATTTTTAAAATTAACAGCTGACGGCTAATTTCAGTATTATTAAATTAAGCAAAATAAAAAAATCAAAAATGTCGGCTAACTTTATTATAAAAAAATTAAAAAAAAAAGAAAAAAAAAGTTTAACATGTACAGAAAAAGAAAAAATTTTTTTTGGTATTATTTATGACAAAAAAAAAAAAACAACAGTATGATTATCAGTATTATTTTTTCCGTATGATTATGAACATATGTTTTATATAACTATTTTATATAACTTTCTAGATTCTGATGGTGATGACGTAGTGATATCAAGCGATGAAGAATTGCAGATTGCCTTGAACGAGACAGGTTTAGAATCAGTTCGTAAGCTCTACGTAAAATTGCGCTCCGACTATTCACCGGAGCCAGAATCCGACTCATCGAGCATACTGCATCCAGGAATATCCTGTGATGGATGTAACGGAGTTGTACGGGGCTACCGATTCAAGTGCGTCCAATGCCCGGACTACGATCTTTGTTCAAAGTGTCATGGCCATGGAATCCATTCCGATCACTGCATGTTGCGCATCGTTACTCCAGTTGACTGGAAGGCGCACCACGGAAGACGTTTGTCGCGTCACATGAATAAATTCGTTCGCAAGAACTTCATTCCGGTTGACGAGTGCGAAGAACCCGCAGGAATTTGTGGAAATACTGGCGATTCATCAAAGAAATGCCCGCGGTCTCAACGACGTCGTCATTGCCCGGTTTCGGATGCAGCATCTGCCGCGGCATCTGCTGCCGCCTCTGCAGCTGCTGCTGCTGCGGTCACTGATGCCGGTGGTTGGATTGATTCGCTCGCAGCTTATCTCAATGATTGGGCAAATATTCCCGCAGAATGTCCTATGAAGAAACCGGGCTTTGACAAGCCTGCTGAAGCTCAAGAAGCTAAAGAGCAGCCTAAGGAGAAGCAACAAGAGCAACAACAACAATCTAAATCTCAGGATGCTAGAAAAGATCCACACATTGAGCTTTTTAAATTAGTGGGACAAAATTTGTCTCAATTTTTGGACCCACTTGGAATTGACGTTAACTTTCAACTAAAAACTAACGACGCTCCTGCTTCTACGTCTGGAGCTACTAAAACCAACGAGCAGCCTCAAGCTGCTGGACCTTCTGCTAAGAATTCTGACAAGTCTAAAACCTCGTCACCAACTCCAGCTACTCCTACTAATTCAGCAACTCCATCACGGCCTAAAACTCCTGAGCAAGTCAGTGCTGAAAAAAGCAGTGCCAGCAAAGGGCCCTCTAGCTCATCTAGCGATAATGAAAATGATCTGGACTGGACTGTCATTAAAGAGGTATTTTATCATTATTACTAATCTATATCATTAAGAGAATAAGAAAAATTTTGTTGCCAGTGTATTTATATGATGAAATGGGTTTTTATGGTCAAACTTGGTATCATTAGAAAGGTCTTGACCTGGAGTTGAACCTTTTCAAGGTTTCATATCATTCTCACCAATAGTCAATTTATGATGATAAATATTCAGGCTGCATTCGAAAATGCTCTACCTCTAGATACATAATTAAGAAATGACCTTATATCTTGTGAACTATTAAAATTTTTAAGGATATAAGCTCATACCGATGTTACTGTTACGCTCATCAAGACCTTTCATTTGAGTACCCACATCAATTTTTCATATATTTTATAAATTTATATATCTTATATATTTATATATATGTATATATGAAAAATATATCAAAATGCATGTGGGTACTCAAATGAAAGCTCTTGATGAGTGTAACATCAGGATGAGCTTATATCTTTAAAAACAACAATAGTTAAAAAAGTACAGTGCAATTTAATATAATCAAGAAACGACTTTGTATCTTTTGAACTATTGACATTTTTAAAGATATAAGCTCATCCCGATGTTACACTCATTAAGACCTTTCATTTGAGTACCCACATCAATTTTTCATATATATTATA